TGGAATGAGGGCGACGGGAAGATGGAATGAGGGCGACGGGAAGATGGAATGAGGGCGACGGGAAGATGGAATGAGGGCGACGGGAAGATGGAATGAGGGCGACGTGAAGATGGAATGAGGGCGACGGGAAGATGGAATGAGGGCGACGGGAAGATGGAATGAGGGCGACGGGAAGATGGAATGAGGGCGACGGGAAGATGGAATGAGGGCGACGGAAAGATGGAATGAGGGCGACGGGAAGATGGAATGTGGGCGACGGGAAGATGAAATGAGGGCGACGGGAAGATGGAATGAGGGCGACGGGAAGATGGAATGAGGGCGACGGGAAGATGGAATGAGGGCGACGGGAAGATGGAATGAGGGCGACGGGAAGATGGAATGTGGGCGACGGGAAGATGGAATGAGGGCGACGGGAAGATGGAATGTGGGCGACGGGAAGATGGAATGAGGGCGACGGGAAGATGGAATGTGGGCGACGGGAAGATGGAATGAGGGCGACGGGAAGATGGAATGTGGGCGACGGGAAGATGGAATGAGGGCGACGGGAAGATGGAATGAGGGCGACGGGAAGATGGAATGAGGGCGACGGGAAGATGGAATGAGGGCGACGGGAAGATGGAATGAGGGCGACGGGAAGATGGAATGAGGGCGACGGGAAGATGGAATGAGGGCGACGGGAAGATGGAATGAGGGCGACGGGAAGATGGAATGAGGGCGACGGGAAGATGGAATGAGGGCGACGGGAAGATGGAATGAGGGCGACGGGAAGATGGAATGAGGGCGACGGGAAGATGGAATGAGGGCGACGGGAAGATGGAATGAGGGCGACGGGAAGATGGAATGAGGGCGACGGGAAGATGGAATGAGGGCGACGTGAAGATGGAATGAGGGCGACGGGAAGATGGAATGAGGGCGACGGGAAGATGGAATGAGGGCGACGGGAAGATGGAATGAGGGCGACGGGAAGATGGAATGAGGGCGACGGGAAGATGGAATGAGGGCGACGGGAAGATGGAATGTGGGCGACGGGAAGATGAAATGAGGGCGACGGGAAGATGGAATGAGGGCGACGGGAAGATGGAATGAGGGCGACGGGAAGATGGAATGAGGGCGACGGGAAGATGGAATGAGGGCGACGGGAGATGGAATGTGGGCGACGGGAAGATGGAATGAGGGCGACGGGAAGATGGAATGTGGGCGACGGGAAGATGGAATGAGGGCGACGGGAAGATGGAATGTGGGCGACGGGAAGATGGAATGAGGGCGACGGGAAGATGGAATGTGGGCGACGGGAAGATGGAATGAGGGCGACGGGAAGATGGAATGAGGGCGACGGGAAGATGGAATGAGGGCGACGGGAAGATGGAATGAGGGCGACGGGAAGATGGAATGAGGGCGACGGGAAGATGGAATGAGGGCGACGGGAAGATGGAATGAGGGCGACGGGAAGATGGAATGAGGGCGACGGGAAGATGGAATGAGGGCGACGGGAAGCTTCTCACCATGCGATATGTGAAAGGCAGGCGCGACCAAATGGCGGGGAGGGGATTTCCCGGGCAGGGCGGGAGGCAAGATGCTGAGGCTGTCTCTAGCGCGTTTGTTTCTAATCGGCTCCGACGCGCGGCGTAAGATGGCTACGCATTGCAGACAATGGATACGTCCGCCCTGTGACCTATGGGAAGCGAGCGTGGTCGAGTGTTTGTGTATTAGCCTATACTTTTAGACTCTCTGAATAAATCGCCAGTTCAGGCCTCGATGTGTCTCGCTAACTCACGCCCGCACTGGCATTTAGTAACAGCCTCCTCTATCCTCACCCTAAGCATCGCACTTTGCTGGTCCAGTCCACACGGACATTCGCTCCCTACGGCTATTCCGCGTATTTCTAGAATCTAAGGTGGCGCCCTGCTGAAGTGGACTAAGCAACTAATATGTTTGTTCGAGTGCATGTGTGGCTGCTCAAACTGTGCACAGTTTCCCTGGCACGTTGCTTCTCAGGTTTGTCGAGTTTGGGAAGAAGGGCCCTGCCTGCTTTTTACAACCAATCAGCATGTAGGGAGTTTGTGGCGAACTACTTTCAGTCGCAAAGTGTTTTTGAGGCTTCGCCTGTCACTCAACCCATCCGAACCTCCAACTGGCAGCCCGCCGAACCTAGAAATACTCAGTTGACTTCCGTTGAGTAATTCAGGTCTTGGGCTTTAACACAGTGGCCGTTTACGCTTCGCGCTCAAACTAACTTACCGCCAGGTCAAGTTCCACATGTCAAGAAACAATTCGACTGCAATTGCACGTCGGCGGGAGAATGTGTGTTCCCTCGTGGAAGCATGGGGCCATCCCCGAATCCCGTCCCAACATAACACCCCTGCTGCGCGTATTCAGCACGACTTCAGCGTGTCACCGACACGAGGAAATGACGAATCGCCCTGTTTGTTTGTTTCCAATTCCTTTCGGCAGTGGTTTTGACAGCGCAACGCTTTGCTGATCGCGTCGAATTCCTTGGGGCATATTATTTTGCGATTTCCCCTTTTTGAGTCTAGAATACATATTGGTTTCGTTTTACAGGATATCTAAAATTACCTCGTCGCGTCCATCGCAAAAGCGCAGCTCGGGACAAAATAATATATGCCCTCTTGGAAGGCATGCCACGTAAAGGGCATCAACCCTAAACACCATGAGGCAAGGTGTTTAGGGTTGATACCTCCCAAATGGCTTGTCATCCGAGTGGGTTTTAGTTTTGCCACTGGCCACAATACTGAAACCAGGTAGACTTCGTAATTGCCCTTTTATACATTTGGTCACAAAAAATGGGAAATAACGAGTTCGACTGCCCGTGGGAATCGGACGCGATCGCGGAGCGGGTTGCTGTCAAAACCACTGCCCGTTCAGTGAGTTCTTCCGCACTCCGCCGGCTGGGGATTTACTGGACCCTTCGTTTACCAAGGCCCTTGACCAGCTCCCGCCTGTTGTCAGGCAGGAATTGCCGAGTTTGGGGCTCTGCACTACAAATCCCCCCCTCCAGCTTTTCCCAGTGCAGCAGCGTCGCTTGGCGGTTGAAAGTCTTCAGTCTCTGCGGCGCATGGCCCGCGATGATGCTACCTTGGCCCGTTTGACTTCCCTTCAGGGCCCGGGTTCGGCAGCATGGGTGTCCGCAGTTCCAGCGCATGATGACGCAACTTTCACCCCTGTGGAGTGGGGCATTTCGGCGGCAATCCGTTTGGGCCTTCCCGTCCACCAGCTTCTGGTTGCTGGCAAGTGTGTTTGCGGTGTGGAGTTCAAGGACCCGTCAGATCCGCACCATGCTCTTCGGTGCAAGTACCAGTACGCCCCGTCTCGTGTTCATGATGCAGTGAACCTCGTTGTTGCTAAGATAGCCAAGGCATCGGGTGGGGTGGTTACGATCGAGGATGACACGCTTCTTCCGGGGAAGAGAGTGGATGTGGCGGTTAGGAAAACAATGGACGGGGAAAAACATGCGCTCGAGGTGAGCGTCGTGGATCCGGTTTCGCTACCGGTGCAGCAGCATGGGCAGTGTGGGCGGACAGTAGGTTTTGCTGCCAAGGAGCGAGGGAAGAGGAAGGCGACGGATTATCAACCTTTTCTGCGGCAGCACAGGGGGGGTTCGTTTCTTCCCGTTGATTCTTGAGACTTGGGGTTGCTTGGGGGGAAGCTTTCGACAGTGGTTACGGCAGCAGGGGGAGGTTCAAGTAAAGGTGGCTCTTAACAAAGGTGTGGGAAGGGGCAACAGCTCGGGTTTCTCGGAATACTTGGTGGGGTCCTTGACAGCCGCGGTAGGGGTAGCTTTGCAGAAGGCACAGGCTCGGGTGATTCTTTTGCGGGTGGCATACACGTTGGGTCAGTCCGAGGCGGAGTGGGTGGAGCGAGGGAGTGGGGAGCAGGAGTTTGGAGAGGGAGCACCATGGGTGGACGTGCCCTACTTGGTCGACATGCGGCTGTAGATGTCTAGGAAGCAATACTTTGTTTCGGGTTTTGGCGATGGTCTTTTGATGTTTGAGGTAGTAAGACACTTCTAGGAAGGGTTTATGCATGTCTGTATGCTTGTTGAAATGTACCATCTCTACCGATGCGCGTCGGGCCTGACACAGCTTTGCCAGGGGACTGACGCGCCATGCCCAAACAGTCGTGACTCGTCAGCAACAAAACCGAACCCCATCCGCGCCGCCCCGCACCGCACCGTAGAGTCTCACAAACGTTCAGATGATCAAGCATGCAACCTTTGGCGTTTCACCACACCACACACTTCTTATATTTACCCTTCCTGAGGCTATTTTCCACATAACGCAGCACACCAGTCTCCGAAAAGCCTCCTGCATCGCTTTTCTTCCAGCAAACAGCTCAGCCCTCCCAGTGCTGCGGTGTTTCGCGTTTCCGTTACGCCAGTTCACCCCTCCGCGTCCAACGAGTCTTCCTCTCACCGCCATGGCCAGACTTCACTCCTCCATTCACCAGCATGGTCTAGCGCGTTTCGCGTCCCTCGCCGTACTCGCACTGGTCTTGGTTGGAGGCTTTTCAGATGGCGTGCTTGTTTCCGCCGCGCCAGTGGCTGTGGCATGCTCCAAGTCGAAGCTCTACCCTGGTTACGCTGTGGTCACTCTAAAAAAAGGGTAAGGTCCAGTCTTTTGACTCGAGTCTAATGTTCTCCGAATCTGGTCAATGTGCGTGGAGACGTCTCCATTTCTGTTTCGTGAAATCTCGAAATCCGAATCAGGCGATCCAAATGTCGAACTCGTGTGCTGGGCTGGTGGTTTACCTAAAACTCGTTTGACTTCTCCTGGGGTTAAGTCGACTAGATTTAGTACCTCCTAACCTTGTTTCACCTTTGATCACCTCGTATCATTTCGAGTCACCTTGCCTCTCGTGTCATGATTTCCTATCTCCAAATTCCATGGCTGCACAACCGTTCCCGTCCATCATGGAAAGAAATAGACAGTACAAACTCATTTCTGGCATTTGCTGTACCATCCTTCGAAAATGTCGGTGATCAGGCTCTTGCTCCACTTTAAGAACAGCCCAACCACCGTCGATTTCGCGTTGGAAGCAAAAACCACGAGCGGCGCTCACAAGGGCTGGCTGTCCGTCGGATTCTCCAAGTTGGGCAAGATGGCCGGTTCAGATGCGGTGATCGGCAACCTGAACGGCGCGAAGAAAATTGATGCGTACTTCATGAAGAGCATCGCGAAACCCGATGTGACGCCGACGAAGAAGTTCGCGATTACAAAGACGAGCGTGGTTACCAACGCCCAGGGAACCATCATGAAGTGAGTACATGTGCCTAAGCGGGTTTTAAACACGGCTTTGTGAAATATTTCCAGCCTTGCACGTCTCATTCCACAACTTAGCTATTTTCGATTGTGTTTCAGTCACAATCTGTCAGCTTTGGCTCTTACGCGTTTGTTTTTCCTCGGCCATTCAAACAGGTTCACCCGCTCTGGCTCTACGGGTACTGTCCCTGTGAAGTATGGTGCGACGAACACCCTTCTGTGGGCGTATTCCGCATCTGGCGCGTCTAAGGTTCTGGACAACCACACTCCGAAGAACAGGTACTGTACTGTACTGTACCGTAGGCTTTTGTTTCGAGGTCCAACTCCTTCTCAACACCATATCAGCACGAGTGGGTGCAATGTCTTTATTGCTCAATTTAACTTACGTCTGACTTCCAACTTCCTCTTGTTTTCCTGTACAGAGGAGCCGTGAGTGTCAACTTGGGCTGCAAGGTGTAAGAAGACGGTATTGTGTAGGAGAGAACGTTTGTGTGCAAGATTGTTTCCTTATGGTGAACTCGTTTACTTGCAAGAACGCATTAGGACAGTTGCAGGATATCAATATGAGCAGCCTAATGCTTCCTTAGATGTCACCATTCTTTTTTATAAATGGCAAGTATTGTGGTGAATCATCACAATGTCTCACTCTTATGGTCTGCCAACCAAGGTGGTATGGAACTCCACCATACAGTACCATGAACTGCGTTTCCAAAGGCAAAGCTACGGTAACTGACCTTCATTCCATTACCAATAGCTATGCACAGCAGCAAAGCAAGTGTCTTGTTTATGCTGTGGCTGTGTTACGAGTGCAATTGAGTGAACGAGCGAGAATTGCACTATCGAAGCAATCAATACAGTTGAGCGAAAAGCATGAGCGAAGTTATATAGCGAAGCTAGTGTGGTAACGGTAATGTGGGAAATTGGGGTGCGCTACGGGCCTAGCGCCGAGGTTGGGAATTGTCGAGGCGGAGGTCCGGAGCGCGGGTTACCAACCGAACCGTGAGGTTGGGTCGCATCGTGAACAGTGGCGGGAGTCGTGGTCGAGGCGAATGTCGCGAGCGGGTAACGTTCACGGATGGGTGCCGATGGCGGGAACGGGCATGTACGCGATAAGCAGGGACGCGAAGTAAGGAAAAGGAATTTTCCTTACAGGCTGCATGGTCAAGAATGAATCATGGCACAACTGCAACCTGAAAGAGGAGAGTTCCTGGGTTCAGCATACTAACTATACAAAAACCAATCAGCAGGGGTGTGCCTCCTCACTGCAGGAATACCTACAATCAACTTGTAATGAAAATGTGGTGAAACTACCTTATCCCAGTTCATGTTTGCTAACTACCGTAGGTAGCGATATTATGAGAGGCACCACCAGTGTATCAAATAACGCGTGCACATAACAAGCATGTACAGTACAGAGATGTACAATCTCTCTCTCCAAACGACCTATACACTGCATGCCAGGTTGACAGTTACAGAGCCCCTGAAAATGGTGTAGGTCAGAGGGAGGAATAATAATGAAGTATTACCGACAATGGCTTTGTTAAACATGTTGAAGGAATGCACTTGGTGAGTGCATGCAAAAACTTGGCTGGTAAGTGGTAACAGAATGTACGTACCAGTTGCCACCGTGGTCACCAAGTGTCCTGGAGGAACCTGAGTAGGAGTGGGCCCATATCATGTTGTTCTTGCCAGCATAGTTGATCGGCGAAAGGCCTGTCTTGCCGCTCCGGGTGAATCTGGAGACCAAATATATAATAAATTACAAGGAAATGGCATTTGGAATCGAGATTAGGATGCATTTTCGGAAAATTGAGTGCAAAGTGTGGCGAGGAATGTTTCAACTTATGTAGTCTCAGCAACTTTTAGAGACAGAAAACTTACTTGATAGTTGTAGCCGAGGCGCTATTTGTAACGGACGTAGCTGTCACTTTGAACGCGGACGATGGAACAACAGAAGACGTGCTGTAACTGGTCATTGCGTACGCCTTCACAGCAGTAGACGAGGGTAAATTCCCCACGACCGCGTCTGCAGGGAACATCCGGCCGGCACTCTTGGTCCAAGCGATGGAGAGCCACCCGTTCTTCGCGCCACCGCCGGCTTGAGCGACAATGGCGCCGTAAAGCGTCGTGCCCACGATTTTCCAATGGAATAAGAGCCTGTGCAAGGGATAGGGTTTAGATGAAAGATTGAGTCAAATTTCGATGGGCGAGATAGAGTACCACGAAAGATCCAACGTCTTAAAATCTCTGACTTGTTTACGTGTACTGAATTTTGACGGGCGAGATAAAGTACTACGAAAGATCAAGTCAATTTCTGTCGCATACTGAACTGTCTGACGTGTATACTTCCAAGACATTCAGGGAACAATGTCGCGGTAAGAACTTACTTTGATTTGAGCGTAACTTTCTTCGAGAATCCAGGGAGGGCCGATTTGCTGCACGCCAGAGCATTCGTGCGGTACTGAGTCCCGTTCATTGGAACCACGCTGCTGACAGACGTTGTCCCTGCCGTCACTGCAGCTGCGTCTGGTGTCAAGTGCCTTGCGGCAAGAGCAAATCTGAACGCCGATAGCACAGTGAGAGTCGCGATGAACGCAGAGAGAAGCGTCATGTTTAGAGGACCGTGTGCCATTAGAGGATACGCGTCAGAATCCGGGGAACTGAAATGTGCGGAGAAATCAGAATTTGAGCTGTAATCCGTGTAAGTCAGCTGAAATTGGACAGAAACGAAAGACAGTTACGAAATCTAGCGGGTTCTGGTCTGCTATGCGTAGTGGTTGTGGGTGAAAACAACGGCAATCGTTTTTCGTGTATATACAAGGCCCGAACCGCATCTGGGCATTTCGTCATGCGCAGAGTTTGCGACAAGGTAGGACGCCGCGAGGCGAAGTGGTAAGTGGTTACGATTTTCGCCAGTTAGTCGCGTGCTCGCCGGAGCATTCTGCGACAGCGCATTTGGTAGAGCGACCTTTGCGGCGAAATTGCTCCCTCCTAATTCTGAGTGATGTGGACGGCGGTGCCCAAATTTCCTCAGATTCCCTGATGCCACGTCAGGAAACAGGTGACACGGGATGCTTTGGTGCAATCACAAGCAGAGACGGGTCAACGAAGATCGGTCAACACTTGACAGGGGGCTTGAAAAAGGCTGAGGTGGCATTTACCGTAACGGAATTGCATGGAAGTGGAAGGCGTCAACGATTGTTGGGCCATTCCGAGGACCAGACAAAAGAATTCTGGGGACGAGTATGCAGTGTAGACACAGCGCCCTCCCCATGAATCCGTGTCACCTAATACACTACAGAATGAACATGCATTTCTATATGCCACAAGCTGTTTGGCTTCTCTTGAGAAAAGAATCAAGAATGAAAGCCTGAAAGGAGCCAAAGAAGAAGAAAACATTTCGATGGGAAACGAACAAAATGTTGTGAATAAGCAGTATGGGGTAATCAAGAGGCATCTGTATGAAAAACGTGTAATGCACTGACCTCGCTTGCTGCTCCCATGTTATCGTCCTCATCATCGTTGTCGTCGACGTCGACCAGCTCAACCATTTTCTCCATTGTTTGAAATCGTTGCTCCCTCAACATCCAATTAGGGCTCTTCCCCTGGTTCCCCTGAGTCACCGAACCTCTACCTACTACTTTCCCCCCCCTAGCCCCACCATGAATATTTCCTCCATCCTCGACCACCCCTCCCCCCACTTCACTTCTAATAACCCCATCTTGAACATCCACCCCTTCCTTGACCCCTCCTCTCACACTCCCTCTTTGTAATAGCCCCCCCTTCCCAGAAACCCCACTTCCAGTAGCCTTACTCACTGTCACCCCGCTCCTGCTCCCCAGTGTCTCACCCCCTACAGTCCCATTTTCCACGCCTTTTGCTCGCTTGAGCGGAGGAACATACGGAGCCTGCTCCTCATCCCCTGATGCCTTTTGATTCGACTCAAATGTCTCTCTGCCTTTTGCTCGCTTGAGCGGAGAAACATACGGAGCCTGCTCCTCATCCCCAGATGCCGCAGCCAGAAACCGTTTTCCCTGCGACACAGGCCGGCTCGTGAGGTTATCCTTCTCCCTGAGAATGCTCCTCAGGGCGTCTTGGTCCAGAGCAGCCACAGGCCTTGCTCCCCTCCTGCTGCTGCTCCCGCTGCCACATGTACCATTGCCCAGAAGCACCTGCCGGGATCGCCGAACGTTGTTTCGGTACAGGAACGCAGTCGAGAGGTTCCTGCAAGGTGTGATTATAACAAGAAAGTTGCGGCACATGCCAGTATGTTGCATTTATGAACAGTTTCTTCGAGGGTGTAATTATATGGAGAGAACTGGTAAGTGTGGGTGGTGGTGGAGGTGGGGGTAAAACAAGCCTTTAACCAGGACAGGGGAGTATCAAATCGACATGCTGAAGCTGCTTTTCAGGATTCTCAAATGCTAATCCTAGACTTTAACCGGCAGTGGCAGGGATTTCCATCCACACTCACCCTCCGTCAAGCTCGAGGCGGGTAGGCTTCATCTTCTGATACGCTGCTGCAATGTGCCGGTCGCAGTACTCTGCAAGGGTTCTGAGAGGAGAGGGTGTGGGATGGGATGGGATGGGATGGGATGGGATGGGATGGGATGGGATGGGATGGGATGGGATGGGATGGGATGGGAGGTCAGGGGGTGGGATGGGAGGTCGAGGTGGGTAGGCTTCATCTTCTGATACGTTGCTGCAATGTGCCGGTCGCAGTACTCTGCTAGGGTTCTGACAGACGAGGGCGGATGGGACGGGTGGGGGATGGGATGGGAGGGCATGGGTTGGAATGGGAGCTCGAGGCGGGTAGGCTTCATCTTCAGATACGCTGCTGCAATGTGGCGGTCGCAGTACTCTGCTAGGGTTCTGACAGACGAGGGCGTGGAATAGGAGGGCGTGGAATAGGAGGGTGTGGAATAGGAGGGTGTGGAATAGGAGGATGTGGAATAGGAGGGTGTGGAATAGGAGGGTGTGGAAGAGGAGGGTGTGGAATAGGAGGGTGTGGAATAGGAGGGTGTGGAATAGGAGGGCGTGGAATAGGAGGGCGTGGAATGGGAGGGCGTGGAATAGGAGGGCGTGGAATGGGAGGGCGTGGAATGGGAGGGCGTGGAATGGGATGGATGAGGTGAGATAGTGTCGAGCTCGAGGCGGGTTGGCTTCATCTACAGATACGCTGCTGCAATGTGTCGGTCGCAGTACTCTGCAAGGGTTCTGACAGTGGAGGGTGTGGGATCGGAGGGCGTGGAATGGGATGGATGAGGTGAGATAGTGTCGAGCTCGAGGTGGGTTGGCTTCATCTTCTGATACGCTGCTGCAGAGTGCCGGTCGCAGTACTCTGCAAGGGTTCTGAGAGACGAGGGCGTGGGATCGGAGGGCGTGGAATGGGATGGATGAGGTGAGATAGTGTCGAGCTCGAGGCGGGTAGGCTTCATCTTGTGATACGCTGCTGCAATGTGGCGGTCGCAGTACTCTGCAAGGGTTCTGAGAGGAGAGGGTGTGAGATGGCGGATGTGATGGGATGGCGTATGGGATTGGACGGCGTATGGGATTGGATGGCGTATGGGATGGGAGGGCGGATGGGATCAAAATGGGCTGAGGTGAAAGGGTATGTGATGGGATGGTTGAGATGCGATGGCATGAGATGCAAGGTATTGGTCAGCAGTAGAGGGTATGCGATACTCTGCAAGGGTTCTGTCAGTTGAGGGCACGCGATAATGGGCGCGAGATTGGACGGCGTGAAATGAGAGTGCGTGGGATGGGAGGGTGTGGGATGAGGGCGCGGGATGGGATGGGATGGCACATGGCATGGGATACGATCATAGGATGGCATGGGGTGGGATAATAACGCTCACTTGTTGATCACGGAATTGCAAGGTTCGTTGCCCTCCATCACCCCCTTGCATATGCCAAAGTCTCTCGCAGTGCCAACTGGCAGGATTTGATTGGCTCGGAACACGCGGAGAGACGGCGGAAGGTTCTGCCATGGCAACACGTGGATGAGAACGCGTGGGAAGTGTGTGAACGAGTGTTAATGAGCGTGCGTGTGCGTGAGTGTTGGTCGAGTTGACTTTTGAGTTCTGCCATGGCAACATGTGGATGGGAACGCGTGGGGAGTGTGGAAATGAGTGCTGATGAGTGTGATTGTGAGTGTGCGTGAGTGCTGGTCGAGTGTGTGTGAGCATTGATAAGTTCTCTCACACACCCCCAAGAACTTCTGAGGCACCTGGAAAAACGTCACCCCAAACAAGAACAAAGTCTCCTCCTCCACTCCTCCCAACCTGGCACGCTCCCTCTGTTGCCCCCCTCTGCTGACCCCCTCTGTAGGTCCCTTGACTCACCCCTTTTGGCGGGTTGGCTTCGGCTCCCAAGACTGCCACGACCGTCCCATCTCCTGCTTGCAGTACACATCAAACGCCGCCCCGAACAAGAACAGAGTCACCTCTTCCACTCCCTCCAACCTCGCAGGCCCCCCTGTAGGCCCTCTCTGTAGTTCCCCTGACTCACTCACTCACCCCCTTTGGCGGGTTGGCTTTGGCTCCCAGTATCGCCACCACTGTCCCCAGCTCCTGCTTTATCTACCCCTTCCTCCTGTCACCCCTTCCTCCCTCCACCCCGTCACCCCTTGGCTCACTCACCCCTTTTGGCAGGCTGGCTTCGGCTCCCAAGACTGCCACCACCGTCCCCATCCCCTGCTTGCAGTACACATCAAACGCCGCCCCAAACAAGAACAGAAGCAAATCATCTCCCACCTCTCCCCACCCCACTCCCACCCTCATTCCCCTCTGTAAGACCCCTGGCTCACCCCTTTTGGTGGGTTGGCTTCGGCTCCTAGCACTGCCACCACCGTCCCCATCTCCTGCTTGCAGTACACATCAAACGCCGCCCCGAACAGGAACAGAGTCACCTCTTCCACTCCTCCTTGCCCGCCTCCTCCTCCTTTCCCTCCTCCCCCCCCTCCTCCCCCTCCGCTTCCTCCTCTGCCTCCCGCCAGAGGACCAGAGAGACAGGAGAGCTTCCAAGACATGAACGGACGCGAGGAGGAGGAGGGTTTGGTGGCGGTAGCAGTGGCTTTAACGGTGGCAGAGGGTTTGGTGGCGGCAGTGGGCTTAGCAGCAGCGGAGGGTTTGGCAGTGGCAGTGGCTTTAACAGATGAACATCCGGATATGACGGCAATAGTCGCCCACGCCCCTGCCAGCTGGCTCCTTCCTCCAATCAGAGCGGAGCTGGAGCAGCGCAGGGGGGTTGGGAAGGTGAGTAAGGGAGAGGAAGACGATGTGAGAAGAAGGCTGTGAAACACATACAACGAATGAGCCGAAAGTGTGAAACACATACAAGGAGTGAGCCGAAAGCGTGAAACGCATGCAACGAATGTAGCGAAAGCGTGAAACGCATGCAAAGAATAATGCAAAACGCAGAAAGCACATGCACGTACGAGATGGCTTCGAGACGAAGGAGGCGAATGTCGGCCAGAGAATGGTAAGGGACACAACACAACGGCACGTGGAACAAAGGTTTGTGTCTCAGCAACGGCTAGAGAGCATTTGAACAGAATACATCGGACGCACGAAGCACATGCACGTACGAGATGGCTTCGAGACGAAGGAAACGAATGTCGGCCAGTTTCTGCCTGAGCTGCGGTGCAGAGATGAAACGGTTCCTGTTGGGAGATGAAACGGACAGCAGTCAGCGAAGAGCAATGCATGGCGACACACAGACTGCCAACCCTTTTGAACTACGCAAACCTGCTCAAACCGCATATAACCGAAGACTCATTATCAAGGCACTTCTGAGACAACCAACAAATGCTACTTTCGCAGACATTTTCACCAATGAGAGGCGGCTAGAAATCAACTATCTTTCTGAGCAGTTTCACCCACCTCAGTCTGATCCCCGAGTGCTCCTCCGTATCCCCCGATTCCATCTCCTTGGCTCTCCTCGCTGCACTCTCTAACACATTCGCTGGCTACTTTTGAGAAGTCGCAAAAGTCATCAGCCGTTTCACCCACCTCAGTCTGATCCCCGAGTGCTCCTCCGTATCCCCCGATTCCCTCTCCTTGGCTCTCCTCGCTGCACTCTCTAACACATTCGCTGGCTACTTTTGAGAAGTCGCAAAAGTCATCAGCCGTTTCACCCACCTCAGTCTGATCCCCGAGTGCTCCTCCATATCCCCCGATTCCCTCTCCCTGGCTCTCCTCGCTGCACTCTCTAACACATTCGCTGGCTACTTTTGAGAAGTCGCAAAAGTCATCAGCCGTTTCACCCACCTCAGTCTGATCCCCGAGTGCTCCTCCATATCCCCCGATTCCCTCTCCCTGGCTCTCCTCGCTGCAACCTCAACCATGGTCGTAGTTGTCGCTCCCTTCCCCAAGAGTCCCCCCTCGCCTGAAGCCCGTTCAGGTGAGAGTTCTGAGCCTCCTGTCAACCTTCCGTCTCCTGTCATTCCTACTTGTGTCACTCCTGCTGCTGCCGCTCTGCCTGCCGCCGCTCCTGGTGCTGTGATTCCAGCTGCTGTTGTTACTGCTGTGGTTGGTGCTCCCACAGCAACTGGGTCTGATCCTACTCCAGGACAGGTGGCCGACCTTCTTGCTGCTGCTGCTGCCGCCGCCGCTGCTGCTCCGCCTGCTGCGGCTGGTGCAGCTGCATTTGCTGCCGTGGTTGGTGCTGCTGCTGGTGCTGCTGCTGTGGTCGGTGTTGCTGCTGCCGCTGCTGCCGCCGCTGCTGTCGCTGCTGCAGCTGCTACTGTGTCGGTCGAGGCTTCTGTCACTCGTGCTCCTGCCACCCGCTCAGGCGCGATGGCTGGAGCGAAAACTGGAGCGACGGCTGAAGGGAAGGCGAAGCTGCTGGGACCAGGTGACTTACCCGTGGTACTTGGTAGAAATCCGTTACCCAAATTACTACCCATTTTTTCGCTTCCAATGAACTGAAACCCCCCGCTAGATCCAACGTCTCCCCGAACACCATTCAAAGGCTTGCGTCCTGAACCCCCCATTGAACCCCCAATCAAGCCCCCCATCAAACCACCCACTGAACCAGCCACTGACCCCCCCACTGAACCCAACACTGAACCCGCCGCGTTCCTAGTAGCAGCCGCGTAATTTCCAGAGTCAAAATGTTTCTGGCGACTGGAAAAACTGAAGGCCTGACTACTATCCATACCACGGCCATTGCTAGTTTTACCGGCGCCACCTAGAAAAGGAGTTGCGTGTTTGGTGTTCGGACCGAACCGTGCAGCTTCGAGCTTATACTTCATCGCGTGAGACGATTTAGCAGCTGGAGGAGCGGCGGAAACACGAGCTCCTTTGCTCGGAGGCACTCTTCTGTTGATTGAAGCTCCTTTGCTGAAAGGGGCTGCCCTGTTCGCATGAGACCCTCTGGTCGGTGGAGGAGCGGAAGCGAATCGAGCAGAGGCGGTCTGCAAGGAGGACGACGGCGCGAAAGGAGGTGCGCTTGACGCATAAGCAGCGCTTCCGTTGCTGACGGCATTCGAGGAGACGTTTTCAGCGACGAAGCATTTGAAAGCGGACATGTCCGCCGGCCCTGACGGCTGTAAAAGCTCGTCCTCGCTGTCGTATCCACCCGAACGATCTCCACCGTTCGATGCGGGACCACCGTGCTCCGGAACATCACAGTCGTCAATTTCGAAATCTGGGTCCAGACCATGATGTGAGCTTGGTGATGATCCTACATTGCCGGTAAGCGGGGTCTGATAAGTCATAGTCGCTTCGTCGAGAGGCCCTTTTTCTAAACCAAAGTCGAAAATATCGAGAGGTTCGTTCTCTAGCCAAACTTTTAATCAGTTTAATCGGCAACCGGAATTTAAATCACGAACAGGAGGATGTCTGGTTAACTGAGACATTTCCAACTCGGAACGGTGTAATCAGCCTGGCCGAAACTGTCAGCCCTGATAGACATTGTCAAATGGCCAAACGCCATCACCTTTGACAACCTTGGTTTCTCCGAGTTCGAGCGAGGTTGACGAACTTGGAACAAGCAAATTCAAATTTGAATTGGCGTAATTTGGGCGGACTTAGGAGGATGCATCGCAACCGTGTAATCGCCCCACCCCTCCTTCACTCTTGATCCCCTTTCACCTCTGGAGTTGCGTCACCGTGAAGCCAGTTCGGCCAATTTGCTACACTGAAGATAACCTCATAAATATGAATAGACCAAATGTAAAGCACAAGCCTGTTTGATTAACAAGCAACTCGCCTTCTCCTACGATTGCAACAAATAGAACACAGAAGGCAGGCGTAAGATGCCAAATCCTGAATCCTGTATATCCATGCACCCTGCAATTCAATAGCACAGAAATAAATGTTGAAACACTGGTTACTGTACAAACCTTGCAACATGCATGCACGACAAAGAAGCAGCCAGCCACAAAAAATGTGTAAGTGGACAACATGACTGCGCACCTCAGGGGAGTATTGCCCGGCCAACAATGGGGCTTGTTCTTGCGACCCAATGGCGGCATCTCCACGTACAAATGCCTATTCACATGCATCATGCACCGGGACATAAGAATGAGATGGGCGGGACAAGATTGTTGGCGCATGAGAAGGTGCTGAAAGTGAACATGCCGAATATTTGTGCTCTGGTCTGGGGTAAACTCTATGAGCCTGGGAGATGCAAATACCATTAGCAACATTGATGAGTAAACTTGCCTGGAACTCACCACATGGACCTAGTGGCTGCTCAATGATGAAAAGGTGAGCCAACACACATGAAAAAGTGTGAGGTGCATGCATAACAGCTCAACATACCTGGAACTCAGTCATGATCTTTTCCTCCTCGTTGCAATCGTCAGGCCTGAAGCCGCAAGGTGGCTAGATGCAACTTACCTGAAAATAGACCACATAGACTTCCTGCCTGCATCGGTTCAGACCTAGACACAGGCGAGAGCGTGCGGCGCCTAAAGATATACATCTTGCCTGGAACTCGGCCACAGACGACGCAACAATGCAGGCCTACACACATGCAAAACCGTGAGATGCCTAGAAATGCAACTCACCTGGACTCAGCCACGTAGGATTCCTGCTTCCGTTTTTTGAGAATTCTCAAAAAACAGATTCAGCAAACCATGAGACGCCTAGAAATGCAACTCACCTGGAACTCAGCCACGTAGACTTCCTGCTTCCTGGTTTGTAGAGACCCAGGCCTGCACAGATAGGCAGCGAACAGGAGGTAAGCAACAGGTGGCAAGAAGCAGCTAAGCAGGTTTTTGAGGCGCCTCAAAAATCGTCCTGGTTTGTAGGGACCCAGGCCTGCACACATACGCAGCGAACAGGAGGTAAGCAACAGGTGGCAAGAAGCTTGTTTTGAGACGTCTCAAAACATGCTTCCTGGTTTGTAGAGACCCAGGCCTGCACAGATAGGCAGCGAACAGGAGGTAAGCAACAGGTGGCAAGAAGCAGCTAAGCAGGTGTGATGAGAATAACGAACAAGAGGCGAGAAGTGTGCAGCACAGGAGATAACGGGGCACTCTCATCATTGCACTCACATCACGTTGCACCTCACCTCATTGCTCTCACAACAGCCACAGCCTGCATCAGAAAAAGAGAAAGGGAGGTACAGAGGGAAATTCACAAAACGGGGAGGGGAGCCTTTCAGCATCAATGCGTACCCCAGACAAGCTTGCGAGCATTCGCCAAACACAAATCGAGGAGCCTAGGATTAAAACACAGGAAGTACAGAAACTGAATGGGATGGCTATCGGGGAAAGGGGGGAGTGGCCTACATCAGCAGCTGATAGCGAGTTGGCTGCAACCAAGTAGCATGCAATGACAAGGCCCGTCCTCCCTGCACGATCAAACAGTTTCACGTAACACGCATGGTCTTCAAGACTGCGCGTTGTGCAACAGGCAAGCACGCTCGGAATGAACGGATCTATTCGAGCAAGTTGGAACGAGTTCTTTTGAAGCTGCTTTGATTTGATTTGATTTGAACAGTGAAAGTTGTTTTGCATACCTAGGCCTGCATGGCAGTGAACAGCCACCTGCATCAACGAAACAAACATAGTATTATGAGGTCATATTCCTCAATCAGAGAGCCTGGAGATGAGGTATCAACAGTAGACCTAGACACTGGGAGTTAACAGTATTTTTGCTACTAAATAGAAACACTCAAGTAAACACAAACACAGATTTCATAGATGAACTGCACAGATTGCATACCTTGTGGCGGCGGCCAATGGCGAGGGAGATGCTCTGCACGATGGAGAGCATGGTTGGGAAGGGCGGACATGCCATGTCCTTCCATGGTGCATGCAGGTAACCCACTGGCCACACAGGGACGGACGGATGATAAGGGGATGTTAGTGCAGGAGTGGTGAGAGGGGGGGAGAAGGTGAGTAGAATGGTTGGGAAGGGCGGACATGCCATGTCCTTCCATGGTGCATGCAGGTAACCCACTGGCCACACAGGGACGGACGGATGATAAGGGGATGTTAGTGCAGGAGTGGTGAGAGGGGGGGAGAAGGTGAGTAGAATGGTTGGGAAGGGCGGACATGCCATGTCCTTCCATGGTGCATGCAGGTAACCCACTGGCCACACAGGGACGGACGGATGATAAGGGGATGTTAGTGCAGGAGTGGTGAGAGGGGGGGAGAAGGTGAGTAGAATGGTTGGGAAGGGCGGACATGCCATGTCCTTCCATGGTGCATGCAGGTAACCCACTGGCCACACAGGGACGGACGGATGATGTGAGAGATGTTAGTGCAGGAGTGGTTGTGAATGAGAGGGGCGAAGAAAGTGAGTAGCATGGCTGGGAAGGGCGGACATGCCATGTCCTTCCATGGTGCATGCAGGTAACCCACTGGCCACACAGGGACGGACAAACGGATGGATGGATATGGATGGCATGAATGTTTCTGTCAGGGCAGGACTGCTTGAGAGGGAGAGGGAGAGGGAGAGGGAGAGGGAGAGGGAGAGGGAGAGGGAGAGGGAGAGGGAGAGGGAGAGGGAGAGGGAGAGGGAGAGGGAGAGGGAGATAATGAAAGGACAAAGACCATCTGAATGGGAGGGAGTGAGTGCTAAAAGAAGATTCCTGCACCAACATGAGCGAGGGTTTGTTAGGAGCGAACCTCCAGCCTTGATGAATTTGTCAGGCGTGTAGGAAAAGCCTGATGCTGTGATCCCTGACCCGCACCACGGATGCTCCCCTGGTTCCTGTGTGCATGCACGGAGAGAAAGAGCATTGAATTGCATTTCTGGTATGCTCAAAACGAGGGATGACAATCGAGCCTGGTCCTTTTTTCCAGCAGGAATGTTCTATGCACCCATATGTACCTACATATGCATTCATACATACCGTCATAAGCACCCATCTGTACCTCCGCAAGTATCTCCATATGCACCCATCTGTACCTCCGCAAGTATCTCCATATGCACCCAGCTGTACCTCCGCAAGTATCTCCATATGCACCCAGCTGTACCTCCAGGTTCACGATCAGCCTAATGACTCGTTCCGCGAATCTATCCGCCATCCCCTCCGCAATCATCGCGTCCCCCCCCAAGCACCGCTCTGTACCTCCATATGCACCCATCTGTACCTCCAGGTTCACGATCAGCCTAATGCCTCGCTCCGCGAATCTATCCGCCAGCCCCTCCGCGATCATCGCGTCCGTCGGTCTCGCGCACGCCAGCAGCTCGTTCGTCACCCAATCGGAGTGCAAACCGCGAAACGCCTCTTGACCGTTCTGCAACCGGAAATCCTCGTGCCGGCACCCGGAGGGGGACCCCAGGCCTTCTAAAAAGCAGACTATCCTATCCGTGATGCCGTTTTCTTTCCAGGAAGGTGCGGATGAGTTCTCGGATGTCTCAAAAGTGGAATCAGTGATGCCATTTTGGTGTCTCGTAGACTCGTAAGAAGACGAGGAGGACGTGTTGGCAATCATGATATTGGAACGAGGGAAATGAAGGAAGTGTCGTGCGATACAAATAGGCTGCTGTGGTCGTCAGAAGGCTTTTTCTGTCGTAATTTGGTAGAATTTCCAATGTGCTCGCGAAATCGTTATTACATGACGGTCCAGACTACCTTGACGGTTTCAGCTGCCAGCTGGTCGGAGACTAAAAGCAGTTTGCCGGCAAGCTCCGGCAAACGAATTCTAGGTTTCAGTTGCTAACTGGTCTCAGGAAGCAATATCACCGCGAGTAGCGTCAAACCGAAGACAGCCGCGGCGAGGAATACAACAACTAAAATGCACCTGATCGCAGAGTCAGCAGAGAGATAAATTACGGCAGACGATGCTTTAGGGCGTGTCCAGCGCGTACATTTTGGGAATATTAGTACCTTCACACGTTTCCCGGCTCAAAAAATCTCACTGTACCAAAAAACGAATATAAGGTGAGTCGAGTCCGAAGGCTTGGGCCTTCCAGCGCGCGGACACAACCCTCTGCACACAAATTTCTACAGTTCGTGGAAAACGAGGTAACTGGTTGCCTCGTCTATCATCGCACAGAAATTCACGCACAAGCGAAAATTCCACGCTTGAACGAAAATTACTGTAGCGGGCAGGACGCAATGCTGTACCCTTGTTCGCGCGCACACTGATTCCAGTAACGTGTGTTAGACGATTCGTCGTACGCGCAGCGGGCGTGCCGTCTTGTGAACGGAAGCTGATCGTGTCCAACCTTTTTGTAAAATGCAGTGTTACAATAGGAAATGTGGTAACTGAATGGGTTTATGAACTGTAAATGTACGCGCTGGACACGCCCTTACTGGCTTGCTCCTCACACCAGCTTGTTCCAGCCTTCACAAAATGCACTGACAGGAGAAATGAAAGTTTCAGGCAGGTTGACAGAATTCACTGTCAGAATTCATACTTGGGCCCAGTTCGGCAGGCGTTAAAGCTCAAGGCCCAAATTGTTCAGGATTACTAAAGTTGACCCTTGGGTGGTGGGAAAGCAGAGTAGGAAAGTCGAGGTGTTTGAGGGGTGTAGGGGTTTGGTTTCGCCCAGCTTCTCGCCACACTCAAAACAAAATTCGCTGACTCAGCAAAGCCTAGGGGACGCTCAGGTTTGGTTGCGCGAGTCCCATATTGCACAAATATTACTCTTGCCAGTTTCCCGCACCACCTGTTCCATTCGCTGACTCAAATGTTCTGGCCAATCAGATAGCTTCGTACATTTCGTAACCACAATTCGCCCAGCTAAAGCTGCAAAGCAGCACTCGATCAACCTTACTAAACTTGCCTCGCGCGGCCCGCAATTTGGGCCTTGAGCTTTAAAAAGGCGTTAATATCAGGCTCGGGGACCGGCTACAGTAAAGATAAGCGAGCTGTCGGTTATCAAGGTTCGAGATAGGCGGTTTGATGTCGAGCCTGAGTGCGTTAAAATGCCTGCCGAACAGCCCTTTTAAAGCCCGAGTCCCAAATTGCGAGGCGCGTGGGTCATGCTTTTAAAACTTGACGAAGTGCAGTGTGCAAGCTTTGAAAAGTAGCGCACCTGCAATTTGGGACTTTCGGGTGCTGACACAACCCCCAGGGCGAAATACGTGGGCTGGCTGGGTTTGGCGAAAAAAACGAAATGCCCGAAATCGGAATCACTCGCCAAAACCCAAACCAGGAAAAACCCCTCGCGTCATCCTTTTAAAACTTGTGCAATTTGGGCTTCCGGCTTTAACGCCTGCGTTTTTAGCAATACGATGGTTCCAGGAAACCGTTTCCCCTAGCAAAGTGGCACACCACTGATCCGCTGCATGGTGCATGGCCGAGAGCTTACACCATGCGAGGGATCAGTGATGCGGCCAATCATATGCGACTGGTCGAATGGACTGGCCAATCATATGATTGTTCGAAGGTGCTATTCACCTTCAACCTGACTTCCTCGAATTTTACACCCCTTCCGCGCCATCACATTTAACCCCCATAATGCCAGCCGAACAAGGCTGCCCGTTTTTTTGAAGGTCCACTGCATGCGTGGCCTGACTTCGAGGATCTTTCGAGCCGGCGTTTTTTTTAGGCCGGTTAAAAATGCTCAAACGCCCGTAACGCCAGCCGAACCGGGCCTTGCTGTGATTCTGCCGAACCGAATGCACCAAAACTTGACGAGGGGTGCTGCTGGGCTCCCAAACCACAATGGCGAGACTCGATTGGCCAGATATGTCCACCCATGCCTGACCTAACTTGCCATAGAAGCAGGTTTGGCAATCTGAGGCAAGAATAGACTCGTGTTATGTGTTTTCTCAAAATTCGTTTTCCACAACGGTACTTATCGTCGCGAAACGTTTCAGCTCGGTACAGGAGTTAATGTTCCAGCTACCTTGGGATGATCATTTTCCATTTTTCCATTTTGGATTCCCTGTGCTGCTGCTTGCGTTGCATCCTGAATCCTTCTTCCTCAGCTGATTACACTTTACCGAGGAACCTGCTAGCGGAAATTTTATATCAGTCGCAGAACAGCAAGCCAATTACACTGAAGCTCCGTGCTCTGTGCTCAGCACTGAGTTCCAACGCATTCCTTACCTGCAGGATTCGTGACATGGCTTGTGTCTCGCAAAGTAGAGATTGAGTCAATAGTGGGAGAAGCAGGGAGGGTAGAAATAGCGTGCGAGCGGAAGTAGCACGCTCTGGGATCACAGCAGCCATGGCTGTGTCCGATGCAGCGGAGTGGACGGAGCTCTCCAACTGCTTCTATCGCGTACAGCCTTTGCCAGACCTGCAATGGCAGGTGAAGAACACGTGTCACCTTCCTCCTGTGTCGAGAACTAGCGCTTCGGACACGCAGACGGCCACGTTTTCCGCTTGTTGATGCTAATTCCAGTCCGTTAACGTCATGACGATAACCAGCATCCGTGTAGACACTTTCGGTCCATCTACACCGTCAGCCTTCCGAATTCGGTTTACTATATGAAAAATTAGTAGCTGGTTTCCGATTCCTGTAAAATGCGAAGTTGGTCGTCAGTACTTCCGCCTTAAAGGAGGCCTTATCAGACCGCATGGTCGGCTTTTGACACGCGTATCCTGATTCTTTCCATTTCCCGCTCCCCCTCCCCACGTAGGACGTGGACCTATCAGAACTCATGGTCGCCTGTGCGCCTTACGGTGGACCAATCGCCACCGTCCGCGACCCGAACCACCTTTCCAGGCGCGGCAGCAGTGCAGGCTCGGCAGCGCAGGCTCGGCAGTACATATCTGTGTTCTCAGCTGCTGGGCGGCCGATCTCGCGGTTTTTGTGGGAGCCTCCTGGAGGGAGGCTGATGGGGTTGGGGTGGAGAGAGGATGCAGTGGGAGGGCTGGTGCTTGTAACGGTGCTTGAAGATGGCACTGTTCATCAGGTGAGATTATAACGGGGGGGGATCTTTTCTTACCTTCACTGAACCCTGATTGTAGGGGGGGGGGAGGGGGCTGATCGGGTTAAGATGGAGAGAGGAGCGGTGAGAGGGCTGGTGCTGGAAGATGGCACTGTTCATCAGGTGAGATTATAGCGAGGTGGTGTGGGTGGGAGGAATAGAGAAGGTTGCTTGTATCAATTTTGAATAATGGCACTGTTTATCAGGTGAGATTATAACGAAGGAATCTTTGTATGCCTTTTTTTTCTTTATCTTGATTTGACCCAAGCTTCAGTTCTCCCTTACCTCCTTTCTCCCCACAACCCCCCTACAACGGTGTGCATTGTTCAATGCATGGGAAGGGCACGCTTCCCCGCATCCCCCTCCACACGACCAACCTAGAGGGCATCACAGAGGCTCACATATTCGGCATGCGAGGTGGAGGAGGGGGAGTTAGGCTGAATGATTTAATTCGTTCCTTTCCCTCTCCTTCCGCTCCATCATCCTCCCCCTCCCCTTCCCCCTCCCCCGTCCCCCTCTCGTTCCCCCCTCTTCCCCCTCCTTCCCCACTTCCCACCCCATGTCGGCCTGCAGTGTTCCATGCATGGGAAAGGCACTCTCCCCCGAATCCCCCTGCACACGACCAACCTAGAGGGCATCACGGAGGCTCACATATTCGGCATGCGAGGAGGAGGGGGGCAAGGGGGAGGTGGGGAAAAGGGAGATACGGGGGGTGATGGCGCGGAGGGGGAGGCGAGGGATGGGGGAGGGGGAGAAGAGGGGGGGAGGAGCGGAGGGGGAGGGCGCGTGGCGACAGGGGTGGTGTGCTTGACTGAGAGCTGTCAGCTGCTAGCAATGGTGGACTTTGATGTGAGTATAACGTAATCAACGATCAAAAGAAGTTGACAGTTTTTATAGTTGGAGGAACGAAGGATGGAGTTGGGTTGGGGTCTTGCCACGATAATTGAACCCACGAATAAGTTGGGGTCAATGATTGTGGTAGGGGGCCACAATCACTGAACCTCCAATTATGGGGAGCCCAATTATTGGTGGGTCGCAATATCGGACCAAGGTTGGGTTGACCCCAACCCCTCAACTAGGGCAATCCCTAGTTCTACACCCAAGATAGACTTGGGTGCTTATATCTATCCAAGTCTTGCTAGTCTATGCATGATACACGGAATATGAGTATTCTAACACATACCCCGTCCCCCCTCCTGCCCCCCTCCACCCCAACAGGACCCAGAGGTCTTCTCCCTGGCGGACCCTAACCTCTCAGAGCCATTGACAGTTTTTAGCGCCTTTCCCCTTCCCCTCACTCTCCTGCCCACACCCCTCTCCCCAACCCCCCACACCCCCTCCCCCCCACCCAACAGGACCCAGAGGTCCTCCCCCTGGCGGATTCTGGCCTCTCAGAGCCACTCACAGTGGCAAGCCCATCCGGCCAACACCCTTTCACTCCCCTCGACTTCAGGCCTTCTCCCACCCCCCCCCCCCCTCCCCCTGCTTTCCCCCTAGCAGGAGCCCGAGGTCTTCCCCCTGGCGGACCCAGGCCTCTCAGAGCCACTCACAGTGGCAAGCCCATCCGGCCAACATCCTTTCACTCCCCCTCCCACCTCCCCGTCCCCCTGCTTTCCCCCTAGCAGGAACCAGAGGTCTTCCCCCTGGCGGACCCAGGCCTCTCAGAGCCATTGACAGTGTCAAGCCACCTTCCCCCTTTTCGCTCCCCAACCACTACCCCCCCCACACCTTCCTTTCCCCCCCAACAGGAACCAGAGGTCTTCCCCTTGGCGGATCCAGGCCTCTCAGAGCCATTGACTGTTTCCAGCGCCATTCTCCTTTTCGCTCGCACTCCCACCAACCGTACCCCACCCAACAGGAACCAGAGGTCTTTCCCCTGGCGGATCCCGGCCTCTCAGAGCCGCCCGCCTGCATGGCTGTGCTGGAGCCCGTGCTGACGTCAGCGGATGACGTCAGCGCATCTCAGGTGGCGGTGCTGCTTGGCACGGAGGCGGCTCTGCTGCGGGTGGATGGGGAGACGGTGCAACGCGTGGTGAGTGAATGGTGGTGTGGGTGAGGTGGGGGATCTGGGGGCATTCGGGGCGCAATTAGTTAGTCAGCTGGTTACTCAAGAGTCTCACTGCTGGGAACGGAGGCGGCTCTCTTGAGGGTGGTTGGGGAGACGGTGCCAGCGCGTGGTGAGCTGTGAGGGGGGTTGGGGGGTGGGGGGTGGGGAGATCTGGTGAATGGATGGGGGGAGTTCAGGCGCAAGTGGTTAGTCAGTTGGTTGCTCAAGAGTCTCTCTGCTCTGTTGGTTCCACTCAACAGCTGGAACGGAGGCGGCTCTCTTGAGAGTGGATGGGGAGACAGTGCAACGCGTGGTGAGTGGTGTGGGGAAGGAGGGAAGAGGGCGTTGGGGGAAGGGAAGGGGAGGGGTGGTTATTTTCGGGTGGACAGTGCGTGGGTGGATCGACTGCGAGTGGCCTCTGCTGAGAGTGAATCAACAGTGCAGCGCGTGGTGAGTGGTGTGTGGGGGAAAGGGGTGGGTTGCTTGGTTGGTCTGGAGGGGAAAAGACGGAGGCGGCTCTGGTGCGAGTGGATCGGGAGACAGTGCAGCACGTGGTGAGTGGCGGGAGAGGAAGTGGGGTTGGTTGGTCTGCAACTGCTGTGTCCCTGGTGCTGTTTCTCGGCGTCGTACAGGGCTGCTTGCTTGCTTGGTTGAGAGGGGTGCTGTTGGGTTGGGACAGGTTGGGGACGCGCCAGGTGTATCATCAACGGTTGAAAGGGGTGCTGCTGGTCGGTACAGGCTGGGGACGCCATCTGAAGATCAATCGTCCTTTCTGCCGTTAAGTTTCTCTCGTTCTCTCTCCCTCGGTCATCCTCTCCCCTCCCTCTTTCATCCCCCATTCTCTCCTCCCCCATTCACACCTCGCCCATTCCCACTGCTCCACCCACCCCTCCCTCATTCTCACCTCCCCTCCCCTCAACGACCTGCAGGGTGCACCAGAGATGTCCACAGCAGTGCAGCACATGGCAGTGACTTTTGAGTCGACTCAAAAGTTACCCCATTCCCACTGCTCCACCCACCCCTCCCTCACTCTCCTCACCTCCCCTCCGCTCATCGACCTGCAGGGTGCACCAGAGATGTCCACAGCAGTGCAGCGCATGGCAGTGACTTTTGAGTCGACTCAAAAGTTACCCCATTCCCACTGCTCCACCCACCCCTCCCTCATTCTCACCTCCCCTCCGCTCAACGACCTGCAGGGTGCACCAGAGATGTCCACAGCAGTGCAGCACATGGCAGTGACTTTTGAGTCGACTCAAAAGTTACCCCATTCCCACTGCTCCACCCACCCCTCCCTCACTCTCCTCACCTCCCCTCCGCTCATCGACCTGCAGGGTGCACCAGAGATGTCCACAGCAGTGCAGCACATGGCAGTGACTTTTGAGTCGACTCAAAAGTTACCCCATTCCCACTGCTCCACCCACCCCTCCCTCACTCTCCTCACCTCCCCTCCGCTCATCGACCTGCAGGGTGCACCAGAGATGTCCACAGCAGTGCAGCACATGGCAGTGACTTTTGAGTCGACTCAAAAGTTACCCCATTCCCACTGCTCCACCCACCCCTCCCTCACTCTCCTCACCTCCCCTCCGCTCATCGACCTGCAGGGTGCACCAGAGATGTCCACAGCAGTGCAGCACATGGCAGTGACTTTTGAGTCGACTCAAAAGTTACCCCATTCCCACTGCTCCACCCACCCCTCCCTCACTCTCCTCACCTCCCCTCCGCTCAACGACCTGCAGGGTGCACCAGAGATGTCCACAGCAGTGCAGCACATGGCAGTGACTTTTGAGTCGACTCAAAAGTTACCCCATTCCCACTGCTCCACCCACCCCTCCCTCACTCTCCTCACCTCCCCTCCGCTCATCGACCTGCAGGGTGCACCAGAGATGTCCACAGCAGTGCAACACATGGCAGTGTCAGCTTCTGGGAAGCTTCTGGCGTGCTTCACGGCAGATGGGCAGCTGCATGTGCTGCTGACGTCAGACCTCTCCAGGCGGATCTCCCACTATGACACTCAGGTGGGTGGTGGGGTAAATAGACTCGAATTGCTGGTAAGGCTTAGGTAATTACCCCATAGGAGTAGCTTGACGTCAGACCTTTCCAGGCGGATCTCCCACTATGACACTCAGGTGGGTTAATAGACTGGTATAGTTAGAAACACTGGGGTGATTACGTCAGACCTCAGCGGATTTCCCACTATGACATTCAGGTGGGTGGGTTAATACCCCCAGGTGGGTAAATACACTCGGATGGTTAGAAACACTGGGTGATTGATTACACCCATAGGGGTAACTTGACGTCAGACCTCTCCAGGCGCGTGACGGGTCTCCCACTACGACGCTCAGATGGGGAGGTGGGGTAAATAGTCTTGGGTGATTGGAAACACCTGTATAATTACACCCATGTGGGTGGGTAGCTTGGCGTTACACCTCTCCAGTAAAAGTTTTCCACTAGGACACTCAGTGGACGACGACACCACGTCCACTCAGTGGGCGGTCCAATACACTGGTGTAGTGTAGATAGAAGCATTTGGTTGATTACACCCATGTGGGTAGCTAGTAGCCACATATGCTGTTGATTGAAGAAGTGTTTTGAGACGTCTCAAAACACTTCTTCAACCCATGTGGGTAGCTAGTAGCCACATATGCTGCTGTTGCCACTCTTGTGAAGTTCCCAAGTGCCCTTTGCCATGCACGTAACATTCCCTGCTCCTTACTCTCCCCTGCAGATCGTGTTACCACCAGACGCCATGGCATGGTGTGGAGAGGACGCGGTTCTCCTCTCCTGGCAGCACCCCCCAGCCCTCATGCTCGTGGGCCCTGGGGATGCCATTAAGTTCTCTCTTCCTTGCCCACCCGTCCATGTCTCTACTCTACTGCTTGTTTGCAGATCGTGTTGCCACCAGACGCCATGGCATGGTGTGGAGAGGACGCGGTTCTCCTCTCCTGGCAGCACCCTCCTGCCCTCATGCTCGTGGGCCCTGACCCCTGGGAATGCCATCAAGTACTCTCTTCCCGCCCATGTCTCCCCATCCCCTGCTGCAGATCGTGTTGCCACCAGACGCCATGGCATGGTGTGGAGAGGACGCGGTTCTCCTCTCCTGGCAGCACCCTCCTGCGCTCATGCACACATGCACACCCTCCCCTCCCTCCCCTCCTGCCCACACCCCCTGCTGCAGATCGTGTTACCACCAGACGCCATGGCATGGAGTGGAGAGGACGCGGTGCTGCTCTCCTGGCAGCACCCTCCTGCCCTCATGCTCGTGGGCCCTGGGGATGCCATCAAATACTCCCTGCTTTCCAATGCAGCCCTCTGTTGCTTCATGCTTCCATGCCTCCATGCACCCACTACTTGTTTGCAGATCGTGTTACCACCAGACGCCATGGCATGGTGTGGAGAGGACGCGGTGTTGCTTTCCTGGCAACACCCCCCTGCCCTCATGCTCGTGGGGCCTGGGGATGCCATCACGTACTCATTGCCCATGCAGCCCTCTCTTGCCACGTGTTCCCATCCAGTACCCTCTGCTCTCATTGCACGTGTCTCCATCCACCCACCCACTGCCTCTGCGGCAGATCGTGCTACCACCAGACGCCATGGCATGGTGTGGGGAGGACGCGGTGCTGCTCTCCTGGCAGCACCCCCCTGCCCTCATGCTCGTGGGCCCTGGGGATGCCATCAAATATTCACTAGGAGGGGAAGAGGACGAGGAAGAGGAGGAGGAGGTGGAGGGGGAGGGGCAGGAGGAAGAGGGAGTGGGAGAGGCAGGAGGGGAGTTGAGTAGGGGCCGTGCGTTTGGCTTAGCAGCTCTTCGCAGGTGTGCAGCTCTTCGCAGGTGTGCTGCTTGCTCACCCCTTCTCGTTCCCCTGCCCTCACTTACGAAATTTCTCAAAAGTGACTCAAAGTACAGAAAGGGGGGGTGAGTAGGCGCCCTGCATTCGGCTCGGCAGCTCTTCGCAGGTGCGTTGCCTGAGACGGCTCCAAATGAAATAAAATAAAATAGCCGTCACCTGCTTGCATGCCAGGTGCGCTGCTGCCTCGTTCTTTTGAGTCGACTCAAAAGTCTCTTTGCAGGTGCGTTGTGTTGCGTGAGACATCTCAAAATGAAATAAAATAGCCGTCATCTGCTTGCATGCCAGGTGCGCTACTGCCTAGTTCTAATCCCTCCAAGTCTTCTCCTTCCCCTCTCCACACCACAGTCACACAGTGTGCCAGCCCCAGCATCAGCTCTTGATGCCAGCACCACCACCACCAGTCGCCTCATTCTCATCCCCCCACCCCTGCTGCTTCCCCTCTCCACACCACAGTGTGCCAGCGCCAGCATCAGCTCTTGATTCCAGCACCACCACCACTACCACCACCACCAGCGGCAGTCGTCTAATCCTCATTCCCGAGTGTGACGGCGTCCGCCTCCTCTCCTCCTCCCACTCCAACTTCATCTCCCATCTCTCCTTCCCCTGCCTTCCACCCACCACAGTGTGCCAGCACCAACATCAGCCCTCGACACCAGCACCAGCACTGACAGCCGCCTGATCCTCGTACCTGAGTGTGACGGCGTCCGCCTGCTCTCCTCCTCCCACTCCGACTTTATCTCCCGGTTTCCTGAACCCACCGTAGCCGCCTTTGCCCTCGCCAGCACCGCTCCTCTGGAGCTTCTTTTGCAATCATTACCCCCCCTAACTTTCAACGTCTCGCTTCTTTGCCATTCTCCCCGGTCCCTGCTCCCTCCACTACAGTGTGCCAGCACCAGCATCGGCTCTTGACACTAGCACCAGCACCACCGACCGCCGCCTAACTCTCACCCCCCCACCCCTGCCCTTTCCCCTCTCCACACTACAGCGTGCCAGCACCAGCATCGGCTCTTGACACCAGCACCGACACCACCGACAGCTGCCTAATTCTCATCCCCGAGTGTGACGGTGTCCGCCTGCTCTCCTCTCTCCACTCCGACTTCATCTCTCGGGTTCCCAAATCCACCGTAGCCGCCTTTGCTCTCGCCAGCACCGCTCCTCTGGAGCTACTTTTGCAATCATTACCCCCCCTAACTTTCAACGTGTCGCTTCTTTGCCATTCTCCCCGGTCCCTGCTCCCTCCACTACAGCGTGCCAGCACCAGCATCGGCTCTTGACACTAGCACCAGCACCACCGACCGCCGCCTAACTCTCACCCCCCCACCCCTGCCCTTTCCCCTCTCCACACTACAGCGTGCCAGCACCAGCATCGGCTCTTGACACCAGCACCGACACCACCGACAGCTGCCTAATTCTCATCCCCGAGTGTGACGGTGTCCGCCTGCTCTCCTCTCTCCACTCCGACTTCATCTCTCGGGTTCCCAAACCCACCGTAGCCGCCTTTGCTCTCGCCAGCACCGCTCCTCTGGAGCTACTTTTGCAATCATTACCCCCCCTAACTTTCAACGTGTCGCTTCTTTGCCATTCTCCCCGGTCCCTGCTCCCTCCACTACAGCGTGCCAGCACCAGCATCGGCCCTAGATACCAGCACCACCACCAACAGCAGCCTAATTCTCATCCCCGAGTGTGACGGCCTCCGTCTCCTCTCCTCTCTCCACTCACATTTCATCTCCCATCTCTCCTTCCCCTCTCCACACCACAGTGCACCAGCCCCAGCATCAGCGCTTGATGCCGCCAATACCACCAACAGCCGCCTAATTCTCATCCCCGAGTGTGACGGCCTCCGTCTCCTCTCCTCTCTCCACTCCCATTTCATCTCCCATCTCTCCTTCCCCTCTCCACACCACAGTGCACCAGCCCCAGCATCAGCGCTTGATGCCACCAATACCACCAACAGCAGCCTAATTCTCATCCCCGAGTGTGACGGCGTCCGTCTCCTCTCCTCCCTCCACTCCGATTTCATCTCCCATCTCTCCTTCCCCTGCCTTCCACCCACTACAGTGTGCCAGCGCCAGCATCGGCCCTAGACACCACCACCACCACCAACAGCAGCCTAATTCTCATCCCCGAGTGTGACGGCGTCCGTCTCCTCTCCTCTCTCCACTCTGACTTCATCTCTCGGGTTCCTGAACCCACTGTAGCCGCCTTTGCTCTCGCCAGCACCGCTCCTCTGGAGCTACTTTTGCAATCATTACCCCCCCTAAATTTCAACGTCTCGCTTCTTTGCCATTCTCCCCGGTCCCTGCTCCCTCCACTACAGCGTGCCAGCACCAACATCGGCTCTTGACACCACCACCGACACCACCGACAGCTGCCTAATTCTCATCCCCGAGTGTGACGGCGTCCGCCTGCTCTCCTCCTCCCACTCCGACTTCATCTCCTATCTCTCCTTCCCCTGCCTTCCACCCACTACAGCGTGCCAGCACCAGCATCAGCTCTTGACACCACCACCGACACCACCGACAGCTGCCTAATTCTCATCCCCGAGTGTGACGGTGTCCGCCTGCTCTCCTCTCTCCACTCTGACTTCATCTCTCGGGTTCCCGAACCCACCGTAGCCGCCTTTGCCCTCGCCAGCACCGCACCCCCGGCTCTACTCCTAGAGGCGTTTTCGCTGTTCGAGAGGCGGTCGGGGAAGGCGGATGAGCATGTGAGGGCGATGGGGGTGGCGGTGATGGGAGAGGCGGTGCATGGGTGCATGCACGCTGCTGCTCACGAAACCGATGTGGACGGGCAGAAGAGGCTTCTGTCTGCTGCTGCCTTTGGCAGGGCATTCTGCAGGTGAGCCACGATGGTTGGGTGGGTGATGTGCTGAATCTGATGGGGGTGGCGGTGATGGGGGAGGCGGTGCGAGGGTGCATGCAGGCTGCAGCGCATGAGGGGGACGTGGATGGGCAGAAGCGGATTCTGGCTGCTGCTGCCTTTGGCAGGGCCTTCTGCAGGTGAGCTAGAAGCCTAGCCTAGCCTCCTGCAAGTCGGCCAGCAGCCTTCACTCATGCCAGCACCTCCGCTGCAGCGCATGAGGGGGATGTGGACGGGCAGAAGCGGCTTCTAGCTGCTGCTGCCTTTGGCAGAGCATTCTGCAGGTGAGCTCGCAGTCTAGCCCGCTAGCAGCCTTGACGCTTGCCCGCGCAGCTCACCCCAGGCTGCAGCGCATGAGGGGGATGTGGATGGGCAGAAGCGGCTTCTCTCTGCTGCTGCCTTTGGCAGGGCATTCTGCAGGTGAGAATAGCACACTAGTCTAGCAGTCGGGGATGGTCGTATTGTACTCCTCAAACGGCCCTTTGTATTAATGCGGGTGTTGGTACAGGCAGATTGAGAAATGGAAGACATGGTCGGCTAACATGCAGTTCTGACCCTATGCATCCCTTTCCTTCCCGTAGTACCTACCCTCACTCCAAGGTCGGGGATGGTCGTATTGTACTCCTCAAACGGCCCTTTGTATTAATGCGGGTGTTGGTACAGGCAGATTGAGAAATGGAAGACATGGTCGGCTAACATGCAGTTCTGACCCTATGCATCCCTTTCCTTCCCGTAGTACCTACCCTCACTCCAAGGTCGGGGATGGTCGTATTGTACTCCTCAAACGGCCCTTTGTATTGATGCGGGTGTTGGTACAGGCAGATTGAGAAATGGAAGACATGGTCGGCTAACATGCAGTTCTGACCCTATGCATCCCTTTCCTTCCCGTAGTACCTACCCTCACTCCAAGGTCGGGGATGGTCGTATTGTACTCCTCAAACGGCCCTTTGTATTAATGCGGGTGTTGGTACAGGCAGATTGAGAAATGGAAGACATGGTCGGCTAACATGCAGTTCTGACCCTATGCATCCCTTTCCTTCCCGTAGTACCTACCCTCACTCCAAGGTCGGGGATGGTCATATTGTACTCCTCATGCTCTTTTGATTCGCCAGGGGTGCTCTTTTTTCTTGTGCCATATTCGCGCACCCCTCGTCTCCACCCCTCGGGTTCCTTTCAGGAAGTTTCCCCGTGACCGCATGATGAGTCTGTGCAAGGATCTGCGGGTGTTGAATGCGGTGCGGCGGGCAGAGGAGGACGGGTTGACCAACGGCGTGAGGGCCATGGAGACAGCTGGCATGCCGCTCACTTACTCCCAGTACAAGGTGACTTGGGCATTCATTCGCTCGTTTGCTTGCTGTGTCTCTTTGTTGGGAGGCGATTTTTTAGGCGCCTCAAGAGGTGGGGTGCTGCGTTGAATGCGGTGCGACGGGCAGAGGAGGACAGGCTCACCAACGGCGTGAGGGCCATGGAGATAGCTGGCATGCCACTCACTTATGCACAATACAAGGTGCGCGATGCATTCATCTGTTGTGTGTTACGTTTTCGAGGTGGGTGGGGTGCTGAATGCGGTGCGACGGGCGGAGGAGGACGGGCTCACAGACGGTATCGGTATTAGAGTCCGTCCGGCGGGTCGCCATGGAGACAGACAGCTGGCACCCCCCATCATGTATTCAATCATTCACAGCACGGTGCCGCACCGTGCAGCACGGTGCCGCACGGTGCAGCACGGTGCACCATGCATGGTGCACACGGTGCAGTGTTGAGACGTCTAAAACGCTCTCTTGGTGCCCCCTCCTTCCCCACTACGCATCATCTCCTCACTATGCATGCACCTCCCACCCAACGCCTCAGGAGCTCTCTCCAGCGCGCCTTATCGCCCGCCTGTGCTCCACACACCACCACTTGCTCGCCCTTCGAGTAGCTGCATTTCTCGGCCTTCGCACGGTAAGGCCCTGCCTTAGCATGTGAGAGCCCCAGCCATCTCTTTCCCCTCATCTTTGGGAGCTTGGCGCCATCTTGAAGGTCTTCGCTTGTTCCACTCCATCCGCCTTTTTTTCTGCCCTCATCTTGCGAGTGTGTTGGCACATTGGCCACGTCGAAATTTTTGCCTCTTTGCTTGTTGCTCTGTCTCCGCAAATACCCACCAGGAGAGTGTGTTGGAGCACTGGGCGATTTCCAAGATCCTATCTGCATCGCAAATGCCTGATGAAGTGCTCTACGACACCATAATAAAGCAGGCGAGTCACTCTATAGCGCAGCAGAACCATTCTGTCTGTTTATTCACTCTATGCCAGACCAGACGAAGTGCTATACAACACTACAATAAAGAAGGCGAGTCACTCTAAAGCGCATCAAAGTATTTTAGCCACTGCAGCCTGGGCAGGACACTGTGCCCACCGTGGGCACAGGCTGTCACGCTGTACTTGGCAGTGTCCTTCCACACGGGCAGGCACAAGCTGGCACTGCATTTTCCTTCAAGCCCTCCCCTCCACCCATTCCCCCTCCACCCCTTTTGAGGCGCCTCAAAAAACGACTTTTGAGGCGCCTCAAAAGTCGCCTCAAAAGTCGTTCTGGCAGTGTCCTTCCACACGGGCAGGCACGAGCTGGCACTGCATTTTCCTTCAAGCCCTCCCCTCCACCCATTCCCCCTCCACCCCTTCCTCCCTCTACAGATTGACACGGACAAAAGGGGCAGCCTAGCAGTGTCCTTTGCGGCTGTAGCCACAGTGGCTTTTCACACAGGCAGGCACGAGCTGGCTACACGACTGCTGGAGAGGGAGGTTCACACAGGGAGGCAGGTGAGAGGCATGGCGCCAGGGAAGGTGAGAGGCCTCTTGGGAACGGGAACACGGGGGCAGGTGCATTATTGGCTATCACACTGCCGTGGCAACAGTGGCACTCCACAGAGGCAGGCACGAGCTGGCCACACGACTGCTGGAGCGGGAGGTTCACACACGGGGAGGCAGGTGAGGGGCCTTTTGAGAGTGCGCTAGAGGTTGACACAGCAGTTTGCATTCCACACAGGCCGGCACGAGCTGGCCACACGGCTGCTGGAGAGGGAGATTTACACGGGCCGACAGGTGAGATGCATGGTGGCAGGTGAGAGACCGTGACTGACAGGTTAGACAGGGCCAATCCTATCTCTCAAACGCCTAAGGATTATCTTTCTCTTTCTCCCTTCCTTCCCCTCTTTCCTTCCTTCCTCTATCCTCCCCCACTCCAGGTGCGCCTTCTCTTGGAAATGGGAGCGTTTGAGGCGGCATTGTGGAAGGCAGAGGCGGGGCCAGATGCGGACTTTGTGTTTCAAGTGCTCTTCCAGCTGCTCGATAAGGTGAGCATTTGTGTTGCCTCTGTTTTAAAAGGAAGGCTGGCTTGCTTGGTTGCTCCAGACTTTGAGGCGGTCTTATGGAAGGCAGAGGCAGGGCCAGATGCAAATTTCGTGTTTCAAGTGCACATCCAGCTGCTCGATAAGGTGAGTGTTTGTGTTGCGTCTGTTGGACAAGGAAGGCTGGCTTGCTTGGTTGCTACAGCGTTTGAGGTGGTGCGTCCGATGGTAGGCAGAGGCGGGGCCGGATGCGGACTTTGTGTTCCAAGTGCTCTTCCAGCTGCTCGATAAGGTGTGCTCATGCTCGCTTGCTTGCTTGCTTGCTGCTAGATAAGGTGTGTGTTTGTGCTGCCTCTGTTGGACAAGGAAGGCTGCTTGCTTGACTGTGGCACTGTGGAAGGCAGAGGCAGGGCCAGATGCGGATTTCGTGTTTGATAAGGTGAATTGGTGCTTGCTTGCTTGCTTCGGGTCTTGCTTGTTTGCTTGCAAGCTTCTTGATAAGGTGTGTGTTTGGCTGACTCGTGCTGGGCAAGGCAGATCGATGCTTGTTTCTGTTTTCAAGCCAGATGCGGACGTCGTGTTTCAAGTGCTCTTTCAGCTGCTCGACTAGCTGAGTGGGCCCGTGCTCGCTCGCTTGCTTGCTGCCCAATAAGTAGTTTGCTGCCTCGCTGTGTTTGGCTTGCTGCTGCTGGTGCACAAGGCATCTGCGGTGCCTTGAACTGAAAGTGTTCAAGCCAGGCTACTGCTTGCAGCTGCAGATGACTTTTGAGTGGACTCAGAAGATGGGAAAGTTTGAGAATTCTCAAAAGTCGCACCAATACAGCTGCAGATGACTTTTGAGTGGACTCAGAAGATGGGAAAGTTTGAGAATTCTCAAAAGTCGCACCAATACAGCTGCAGATGACTTTTGAGTGGACTCAGAAGATGGGAAAGTTTGAGAATTCTCAAAAGTCGCACCAATACAGCTGCAGATGACTTTTGAGTGGACTCAGAAGATGGGAAAGTTTGAGAATTCTCAAAAGTCGCACCAATACAGCTGCAGATGACTTTTGAGTGGACTCAGAAGATGGGAAAGTTTGAGAATTCTCAAAAGTCGCACCAATACAGCTGCAGATGACTTTTGAGTGGACTCAGAAGATGGGAAAGTTTGAGAACTCTCAAAAGTCGCACCAATACAGCTGCAGATGACTTTTGAGTGGACTCAGAAGATGGAAAAGTTTGAGGCCAGCGTTTGGAAGAGATTGAAGCAGATGTGAACTTTGTGTGTTTAGGTAGCCTTCCCCAACTCAACCCAACCCAACCGAACCGCACCCAACCACACACACAGGCGCCAGAGGAACAGGTGTTTGAGCTGCTCAAGAGCCACCCTACAGCCAGAAGCCTCTTCGTTTCCTACTGCAAGTGAGTGAGGGTTCCTTCTTGTATCATATTCCCCTCTCAAAATCATGTTTTCGTTCTTGTTGTCATTTTTGTTATTTTGCTGAATATTCCCCATCGCAAAACTTACCCCTTCATCCCATGTTGCAAGTGGGTTCCCTCTCTCACCACCGATTTTATATAACGTTGACAGACTCCTCTTTTCCATCAATGCCTTTTCTTTCTTATACTGCAACGGATGTTCATTATTCTCGTGTTGCCCTCCCCTGTTTGTCCCTCCCCCTTCTCCCTGCCTTTCCAGAAAATCAGACATTCCTCTGCTCATGCGATTCTATGAGCGCTCCTCCATGCACCAGGTGATTTGCCAGGTGACGTTTCAGGTGATCTGCCAGGTGCTATACCAGGTGGGTGCTATGTCAGGCAACTCATTAGGTGGTGTGTCAGTTAATGTGCAAGGTGGTCTCAGGAGAGTGTTCACCTCATTGCGCTTCCTTTTTCCCTTCTCACCTCACCCCCCCGTCACACGCAGTGTGTAGCAGAGCAGATTGTGAAACAGGGAGTGCAGGAGGGGATGAATAGGTTGGGGGCAGGGGCAGCAGAGAGGGTGAGGGAGCTCGAGGCAGCAGGGGAGCTCCTCTCACGGACCAGGGACCACGGGTTTCAGGCGAAAGCAGTAGAAGATTCTGTGAAGCTGCTGCGGTGAGTGCAGGATTGGGGGAACAAGTGGGCGGCTGAGAGGGTGAGAGAGCTCGAAGCAGCAGGGGAGCTGCTCTCAAGGACCAGGGACCATGGCTTTCAGGCGAAAGCAGTAGAAGATTCTGTGAAGCTGCTGCGGTGAGTGTGGGGTGTGTCGTGGTGTTGGGGGTGGCGGTGGGGGGTGGATTGAGTTCGGGGTGATGGTGATGGTGATGGTGGGGGTGGGGGTGATGGTGGGGATGATGGTGATGTTGATGGTGATGGTGAGGGACTTGTGCGGGGGAAGGTGTGGAAAGGGTGAAGAAGCAGATGCTCACACTGATCTCTCCCCCTCTTCTCTTCCCTCCTTGTGTTTCTCACGCCCTTCTCTCGTCCACCCAGCTTTCAGCAGCAGCTGGAATCAGCAGGAGCAGTGCACCTTGCCCCACCCACCACTACTGCCACTGCCACTTGTGCGGGGGAAGGGTGAGGGATGGGTGAAGAAGCAGATGCTCACACTGATCTCTCCCCCTCTTCTCTTCCCTCCTTGTGTTTCCCACGCTTTTCTCTCGTCCACCCAGCTTTCAGCAGCAGTTGGAAGCAGCAGGGATGCAGCTTGCCCTGCCCACCACCACCGCCACTGCTACCGGTGCAGGGGAGGGTGTGGGGATTGGGGAGGAGGAGGGCAGGAGGAGGAGTGTGGTGGGGGCGAGTGTGAATGAGACGATTGCGGCTTGCCTAGCCGCGGGGAACCACAGAGAAGCTCAGAAACTGAAGAGCGATTTCAAGGTGAGACCTGCTTTTAAGTCGACCCGATAATATATCTCTATAAATTGGTGTTGAGGAGAGGAAACGCTTGTCTGAACTGGTTAGGATAGGACTGCACTCCCTAGGTGACTAGTTTTGAGGCGCCTCAAATGACCCGATAATATATCTCAATAAATTGGTGTTGAGGAGAGGAAAGGCTTGTCTGAACTGGTTAGGACTGCACTCCCTAGGTGACTTTTGAGTCGACTCAAAAGTCACCTTGTCTGAACTGGTTAGGACTGCACTCCCTAGTCCGCCTGGTCTGCCTGGCCCACTTGGGGGACTGAGAGTGGCTGGAGAAGAGGCAGTTCAAGGAGCAGCGGCCTCTGGTGGGTTTGCTGGTGTCCCCACTCTCTCCCAGCAGCAACCTGTATCATCTGTCATCTACATTCTGTACCCTCTATAAGCAGGTACCAGAGAGACGCTACTACTGGCTGAGACTGCAGGCCCTGGCTCGCCTAAGGGACTGGGAGGGTCTGGAGAAGCTGTTCAAGGAGCCGCGGCCTCTGGTGGTCCTGTTGCAAATTATGGCCTGCACTTCATTTTGTACCCGTTATAAGCAGGTTCCGGAGAGACGCTACTACTGGCTGAGACTACAGTCCCTGGCCCGCCTCAGAGACTGGGAGGGGCTGGAGAAGCTGTTCAAGGAGCGGCGGCCTCTGGTGGGCCTGTTAGTATCGCCACCCCTATTCCATCATCTACATTCTGTACCCTTTATAAGCAGGTACCAGAGAGACGCTACTACTGGCTGAGACTAGAGTCCCTGGCGCGCCTGAGGGACTGGGAGGGGCTGGAGAAGCTGTTCAAGGAGCGGCGGCCTCTTGTGGGCCTTCGGGCATTTGTGGAGGCGTGTGTGGAGCAAGGCGCTGTGGTGGAGGCTGCTAAATACGTTGGCAGGATCGGGGATGCGGGCGAGAGGGAAGAGGTGAGAAGGAGCGGAAAAGCAAGGGGGAAGGAGGGAAAGGAGGTTCTGGTGAGAGGGTGTGTTTAAGAGCGTTTGTAGAAGCGTGTGTGGAGCAAGGCGCAGTGGTGGAGGCTGCTAAATACGTTGGGAGGATTGGCGATGCGGGGGAAAGGGAAGAGGTAGGCACAGTGGGGCAGCTATGGGATGGTGGTACTTTGTGCGTTTGTGGAGGCGTGTGTGGAGCAAGGCGCTGTGGTGGAGGCTGCTAAATACGTTGGGAGAGTTGCAGATGCGGGCGAAAGAGAAGAGGTGAGAAAACACAGCGAGTGGAGAGGGAACTGAGGGTGAGAGGGTGAATGTGCGGGCGTTTGTGAAGAGGTGTGTGGGGCAAGGGGCCGTGGTTGAGACTGCTAAATACGTTGGCAGGCAGAATCGGGTATGATGGCAAGAGGGAAGAGGTAAGACAGGGCGGGGTGAGGGTATGGTTTCGTGTGCGTTCATAGAGGCGTGTGTGGAGCAAGGGAGGTTGTGGTGAGCGGGTGGGGCTGCGTGCGTTCGTAGAGGCGTGTGTGGAGCAAGGGAGGTTGTGGTGAGCGGGTGGGGCTGCGTGCGTTCGTAGAGGCGTGTGTGGAGCAAGGGAGGTTGTGGTGAGCGGGTGTGGCTGCGTGCGTTCGTAGAGGCGTGTGTGGAGCAAGGGAGGTTGTGGTGAGCGGGTGGGGCTGCGTGCGTTCGTAGAGGCGTGTGTGGAGCAAGGGAGGTTGTGGTGAGCGGGTGGGGCTGCGTGCGTTCGTAGAGGCGTGTGTGGAGCAAGGCGCTGTGGTGGAGGCTGCTAAATACGTTGGCCGGATCGGGGACGCGGGAAAAAGGGAGGAGGTAAGAGGGGACTGGCTGGGAGGGTTGGCCTGTGTGCGTGTGTGGAGCAGGGCGCTGTGGTGGGGGCTGCCAATTACGTCGGCCGGATTGGTGATGCTGGAGAAAGGGAAGAGGTGAGAAGGGGTTGGGTTGGGTGCAGGGGAGGTAGTGGTGAGCGGGTGGGGCTTAAGGGCGTGTGTGGAGCAAGGCGCTGTGGTGGAGGCTGCTAAATACGTCGGCCGGATCGGGGACTCGGAGATAGAGAAGAGGTAGGCACAGTGGGGCAGCTATGGGATGGTGGTTCTTTGTGCGTTCGTAGAGGCGTGTGTGGTGTGGAGCAAGGCGCCGTGGTGGAGGCTGCCAATTACGTCGGCCGGATTGGTGATGCTGGCGAGAGGGAGGAGGTGAGAAGGAGCAGGGTTGAGTGCAGGGGAGGCTGTGGTGAATGGGTGGGCCTGTGAGTGTTTGTAGAAGGGGAACTAGGGTGAGTGTTCTGGGCTGGGCTTGTGTGGATGTTTGTGGTATTGCGTGTTGGAGCAAGGGGCAGTGCTTTGAGCTGTTTCGGGTTTGCAGGATGGGAGATGTGGGAGAAAGAAACAACGTGAGAAACAGAGGGGAAATGGGGAGAGGAGGTGAGAAGGGTACGGAGGGAGAGAGGAGGTTTGCATGCGGTTCTCATTGTATCCCCACCCACCTCAATATTCTAGCTCCTGTCTCACTTCATTCACGCGTCCACCCACAACGTCCCAACCACACAACCTTCCACCCACCTGAATGCAGCTGTCGCGGCGGTTCAACCTTCCAGACCTGACATCCGAAGCAGCAGCGGCCGCAGCAGCAGAGAGGGGCGAGGGTGCAATTCTGGGAACTCTGCGATCTTTTGCCGCTGCTGGTAGCGCTGCTGGCGCTGCTGCTGTTGCTGCCAACCCCACAGCTTCCTCCTTTTTCGGTTTCGGCAGCTTATCGTTCAGTGGTAGGGGTGAAGGATGAACGATGTTGTGTAGATAAAACATGTTCGGGTTTTTGCGCTGGGATGTATTTAGCATCAATCGGGTGTGTGACTGCAGATGCCCCTCAAATTTGCTTGCCAATGTGCCTTATTTTTTACATCTATAGTGTTCTTCGCATCTATAGTGTAGCACAACCGCATCGTTCGTGTGCTCGATGCTGGGGGGCCACGCGTGGACCTGGCGGTCGGTGGTGCCAGTTTTCCTTCGCTCAGATCCACCGACATTGACAAGCCTTTGGCGATCCAATCAGGTTATTCCGACAGCATAACTTATCATGATAAATGCCACATCGGCCGTTGAGGTATTTTTTCGTGCCAGCTGGAACCTCGTGAATTCACAAGAGATCCCAGCCGTAGAATGGCTGGGCTGGTCAATGTTTGGGCAATTGGCTCTTTCGCTGCACGAATCTCACGAAGACTTTGCGGTTTTCGTTTGGAAGAGCAGCGCCTGTGGCGAGGGTTTCGCCAATCAATCATTTCGACGAAGATACTTCGAAAGGGGCAGGAATATCACTCGAGACCACGCGCAACGAACGACGCTGCCACGCGCGCGGGCGGGGCAATAAACTAATGGCGCTGCGTGATCCGCTTGAGCACCAATGGCGTGCGGGCCGGGTGGGGCCACCAACTGACTCTGCTGTTGCTAGCTTGTCCCCCAAGCAGTTCGTGTATGCGAGCGAGCCAACTTCAAATTCTTGTCGCATAATCGCATTTTGCTCTGGCTGTAAGTTTGTTTGTGAGATCCCATTTTCTGCTTCCCATCCCAAGCATTTTGCGTCCCTTCCACTCCACACTCCTTGCTGCTTCGTGTATTCGCAGTGCCAGTTCTCCTCTAATCCCCTCACTTTGCCTCTCATGGCTCTCGCGCTTCAGAAATCCGGACTTTCCACGTTGCTGCAACTAGCAGTACTACTTCTGTTGACTCAAATCGCCGTTGCTACAAGCGGACAGATGAACGTTACTCAGATCCATGCGAGCGCTGTTGCTCTGCCGTGCAGCCGGTCACCCGTCGCTGGATTCGCGAAGAAAGTCACGCTGAAACCAGGGTACGTATCGGACATGTGTGGAAATATGGATAGAACAGAGATTTGCGGTGTGCGTTTGGAAATGACTGCACGAAGCTCAAGCAAATTAGCTTAATCAAAGCCCCCCGTGCTCGTAGACCGAGCGAGGGGAATGTCAACATGAAATCGGCACTACATGCACAAGCTATTCTCTGAAACATTCGCGGGAGAAAACAAAAGTGTTTTCGTCAACGGAACTTTGTCAGCTTCATTATCCGTCCAACGGAAAACCTGTCGCGGTGTATTCCCTGTCATTGGAAGCCGACTGCCGCGCCGCGCGGCACGGCGCTCCGAGCGCTGTGCGTGACGATCGGGCCGCGTACTACAACGAGCCTGCTCAATATGTTCCCTTCCCCCTGTTGATACCCCTTGCACAACTCAGCATCGTGTTCCACTGACGATTCCTTTCTGTCACCCTCCTCACAAACGCACGCCAGGCTCGTGTTCCACTGGAAGGTGCCGTACGGGAACAAGCTCCGCGCGGCGATAATCGCAAACCCTTCCCTCCCGCCTGGGGCACAGGAACACATCTTTTTTTGTTGTCGATGAGCCCGAAAACCCTTTCCTCCCGTCACCCTCCCCACCCCACGCACACCAGGCTCGTGTTCCACTGGAAGGTGCTGTATGGGAACAGTGCGGCTGAAAATACTCGCATAGCCTTCGCTCCCTGTCATCCCCCCACGCACCCTGGCAGGCTCGTGTTCCACTGGAAGGTGCTGTATGGGAACACGCTCCGCGCCGCGATCATCGCGCAGGCAAGCAGCGGCGCGCAAAAAGGGTGGATCGCGATCGGGTGGACCAAGAGCGCCGGGAAAATGTACCCCGCGGATGCCGTCGTGGGGAATCTGGGCACCGCGCCGGCTAAAGTCGAGCCGTACGCGATGACCAGCTACAGTGCTGTAGCGAAGTCGAGCGCTTTTACTGTAACGAGCACAGTTGTAGCGCGGAAATCGAGGTCTACAGTCATCAGGTGCGTATCAAGGCAATATAAGTCGCTCTTGTTGGGGATCTACCGATGAGCGTAGGGCTGTAGGACCTTGTTGGATTTATTTTTTATTCTGAGAGGAAAACATGCGTGCAGAACGTAGGCTGAGGTATGATCTCGTCGAGTAGGCTAAACCCGAAACTCTAACCCTAAACCCTGAGTCGGCTCATACACCACCCGAGGAGCGTCGGCTGAGGCATGTCGGTTTAGGTGAAATGGGGAGTGCTTGTTACGAGGCGAGTCGTCCTAGTAGCGACCATATTCTGTCATTCCAGAATGTGGTCATTCCTACTAAAAACCGTTTCCGTTATAAAGCGCAGCGAGCCCCCGCCATGGATACCCGAAACCCGAAAGCCCGCCACCTCCATGCGCTCCTCACGTTTCTAAACCATTAAGCCCGAAACCCCGAAACCCTCGATTCTTACCCTGTACGCTGTCACGACCATAAACCCAATTTGTTGTCAATTTTGCCGCCATGAAATGCGGGAAACAGCACGTAACAGAAGCGTGGCGACTGCAAATTTTTCTCTCCCAGTTTAAGTTCACTCAAAAGCTACGTGAAACAAGTAAGTTTTTGAGACGTCTCAAGTTCACTTACTTGTTTCACGTAAAAAAGGACTGCCAGAATGTTCTCTCCCGGTTCAAGTTCACTCAAAAGCCACAGATCTGACCCGCACATCTCTTTCCCTCCCGCCCCGCAGGTTCACTCGCAGCGGGACATCGGGACTGTCGCCGATCAACTACAAGGGCAGCAACAACATGGTCTGGGCCTACTCCGTTGACGGCTCCACCACGATAGGCGGCCACGGTACCAACCGGTACGAACCTATTTGCACCACTCTGCACCACGAGTTTTGAGTGGAACCAAAAAGAGACACCGTCTGGGCCTACTCCGTTGACGGCTCCACCACGATAGGCGGCCACGGTACCAACCGGTACGAACCTATTTGCACCACTCTGCACCACGAGTTTTGAGTGGAACCAAAAAGAGACACCGTCTGGGCCTACTCCGTTGACGGCTCCACCACGATAGGCGGCCACGGTACCAACCGGTACGAACCTATTTGCACCACTCTGCACCACGAGTTTTGAGTGGAACCAAAAAGAGACACCGTCTGGGCCTACTCCGTTGACGGCTCCACCACGATAGGCGGCCACGGTACCAACCGGTACGTACGAACTACTTGCATCCTCCCTCCACAGCAAGCTAACTTCTGAGTGGAATCCAAAGTCGCATCGTCTGCATAATCAACTAGTTTTATTGTGAAGATACCCTAATCTTCCTGCTCGCTTCTTACCCTAATCTTCTTGCTCGCTTTTTTACCCTAATCTTCCTGCTCGCTTCTTACCCTAATCTTCCTGCTCGCTTCTGGTTATGAATGCACTGCCGTGCAGGGGCTCGGCGACTATTGACCTCGCATGCAAAATCGGATGAGGCTACAGTGCGATGCGATCACATCGTCGGCGGCACTATCCGTAATCTCGTACCCGTTTGTGCTTCCTTGCGGACGGGTGTGCGCTGCAATAAGCTCGTGGGTATGCATTCTATTGCATTTGAAAGAAGTGGGACAGACGGGTATATTTTTAGGGGTGCTGCTGATGAAACTTGTGCTAATTTGGGTGATGGTGATAAAAGGGCAGGATGGGCTGAATTGGTCCTCTATCCTCTGTAAATCTTGATTGTTGCTAACCATTTTTGGCAATCTCTGTGACTAGAAAATTAGCATCATAATCATGCGCACAAGTCCATGCAGGACAGCATAACAACCAAAGACAGATTAACATATGAGCACAATATAAAAGGATGACTGACAACGGGTTTTATCCACTGTAGGGGGTTTCTAAAACTGCATTGCGCATTGCCCCTCTCCTCTCATTGGGTCAGCTGTGATACTGTACACCCACCACGCTATACAAATGCACGTGACACTGTGACTCTACAAAATAACAAAACCCCAGTATATATACAGAAGCACATGCTTGGGGGTTCCTCATAACAGCTGCGCGGATCTCTCTCTCTCCTGCTCCCGCAGATGGAGTGGAACGTCGTCGCACTGTACACATCATTTGTATATCTACAGTGGCACATCACCAGGATATGCCCCAGGGTTCTTCATAACAGCTGCACGCACTGCCCTCTCCTGCTCCTGCAGATGAACCGGAATATTATCGTACTATACACGCTGCTTTTACCGTATCTACAGGGGCACATCACCAGGATATGCCCCAGGGTTCTTCATGACGGCTGCACGCACTGCCCTCTCCTGCTCCTGCAGATGAACCGGAATATTGTCGTATACATCGCTCACTAGATCCGAAAGTGGCGGCTTCGGAAGCTTCTCAGCAGCTTCCAGTGCGGCAATCACCTGAGAGAAGTCATGGAAGCAGGGCAAAAGGGAAAAAAAGAGGAAGGATTGAGAACGAGAACCGTGAATTCATGCAACATTCATGGAATCAAATGAATAACCGACTGACTTCACGAAATCATACCCACTCCCATAAATATATGCCCCACACCTCAATTACTCCACCCTCACCTCGTCCCTGGCAGCGCCCCTCGCCTGCTTCTCCTGCGCCTCATCCCACCACCCCTTTCTCTCCAGCCACCGCCTGAAGCGCGCCACCGGGCCTCTCTGTGTGCGCCAGTGCGCCATCTCCCCCGCCCCTTGCCCCCCGCATCCCGCCCCTCGCCCCCCCAGACCTCATTATACATACAGCAAGCACGCAGATACCTAAAAGGAATACACCACGTGGGTGAGAAAACAGGCACTCACCTCCTCCCTGGCAGTGTCCCTTGCTGCCTTCTCCTGCGCCTCATCCCACCACCCTCACCCCTCCAGCCACCTCCTGTACCGCGCCACCGGGTCTCTCTGTGTGCGCCACCCCCCCCCGCCCACACTGACCCCCATAACATACGTACGCACTCACCTCGTCCCGGGCAGTCTCCCTTGCTACCTTCTCCCGCGCCTCATCCCACCACCCCTTTCTCTCCAGCCACCTCCTGTACCGCGCCACCAGGTCTCTCTGTGTGCGCCAGTGTGCCATCTCCCCCACCTCATGCCCGCCGCTCCCCCCAGACCTCATTATACATGCACCAAGCAGACATGCGCCCTCACCTCCTCCCTGGCAGTGTCCCTCGCCTGCTTCTCCCGCTCCTCATCCCACCACCCTCGCCTCTCCAGCCACCATATGAACCGTGCCACTGGGTCTCTCTGTGTGCGCCAGTGTGCCATCTCCCTTACCTCGTCCCCCCGCTCCCCCCAGACCTCGCTATACATGCATCAAGCAGACATGCGCCCTTACCTCCTCCCTGGCAATCTCCCTCGCCTGCTTCTCCCGCTCCTCATCCCACCACCCTCGCCTCTCCAGCCACCGCCTGAAGCGCGCCACCGGGTCTCTCTGTGTGCGCCAGTGTGCCATCTCCCCTGCCCCGCGGTAGCGAGATGAGTCGTCTGATGTGCTGTGATGGCCCGTGCGGTATGTCATGGCCTGGGAAGAGAAGGGAGAGGGAGGGCAAACAGAGCGCAGTGGGCAGGAAACCGGACGGTCGGGTATGGAGGGCTGAGTTCTCTCTGGGTGCGCCAGTGCGCCATCTCCCCACCCCGCGGTGGCGGGGGGAGTCATCTGATGTGCTGTGATGACCCGTGCGGTATGTCATGGCCTAGAGAAGGGAGGGGTGAGGGTAAACGGAGGGAACACAGAGGGTAAAGGGATGGCAGGGGTCTCTCTGGGTGTGCCAGTGCGCCATCCCCCCTGCTCCGCGGTAGCGAGAAGAGTCGTCTGATGTGCTGTGATGGCCCGTGCGGTATGTCATGGCCTGAGCGGAGGGAGGGGAAGAGGGGAGAGGAAAGGGGTCTCTCTGTGTGCGCCAGTGTGCCATCTCCCCCGCCCCACTGTAACGTGAGGAGTCGTCTGATGTGCTGTGATGGCCCGTGCGGTATGTCATGGCCTGGGAAAGGGAGGCGAGGAGGGAAATGGGGTACCAGGAGGGTAGAGGTTAGGGGTGTCTCTCTGTGTGCGCCAGTGTGCCATCTCCCCCGCCCCATGGTAACGGGAAGAGTCGTCCGATGTGCTGTGATGGCCTGTACGGTATGTCATGGCCTGAGAAGGATAGAGGGTGGAACAAGGGTAAAGGAGGGGAAGAAAGCAGGGGTCTCGCTGTGTGCGCCAGTGCGCCAACTCCCCCGCCCCGCAGTTACGAGAAGAGTTGTCTGACGTGCTATGATGGCCAATGCGGTATGTCATGGCCTTTAGCGAGACAGGAGGGTGGAGAGGGAGAGTAAATGGAGGGAACACAGAGGGTGAAGGGATGGTACGGGCCTCTCTGTGTGCGCCAGTGTGCCATCTCCCCCGCCCCGCGGTAGCGAGAAGAGTCGTCTGACGTGCTGTGATGGCCCGTGCAGTATGTCATGGCCTGGGAAGGGAAGGGAGAGGAAGTGCAAATGGAGGGTAGAGAGCAGAAAATCGGTAGATGGAAGGAAAACGGAGGGAAGTGGGTAGAGGAAGGATAAAGGAGGGGAGGAATGCAGAGGTCCTTGTGTGTGCGCCAGTGCACCATCTCCTCTGCACTTAACCACATTTCACCGCAGTTCACCGTACTGCATCTCATCTACACGAGAATGGGCTTCCCTGTCTCTACCACTCGTTCCCCCGCCTCCTTCACCACTCTCAGCATTGCTACCTTCAGTGAATCCCACAATATCTCACCACCCTTCATCTCACTATACCGCACTCCACTGCCCATCACCACACTGCATCTTACCTCCACGAGAATGGGCTTCCCTGTCTCCATCACTCGTGCCCTCGCCTCCTTCACCACCCTCGGCACCGCCAGCACGTCGTTGCCGTCCACCCGCACACTAGAGACGCCCTTCACCACACTATACCGCACTCCACCACTGCCCTTCACCGCACTCCATCTCACCGCCAGCACATCGTTGCCATCCACCCGCACACTAGAGACGCCGTATGCCGCCGAGTGAGCGCCAGTGCACCATCTCCTCTGCACTTAACCGCACTCCACCACAGTACACCAAAATTCACCGGCCTTAACCGCACTGCACCTCACCTCTACGAGAATGGGTTTCCCTGTCTCCATCACTCGCGCCCTCGCCTCCTTCACCACCCTCAGCACTGCCAGCACACCATTTCCAATTGTCGGTGAATACCCACCACATTTCACCGTCCGTCACCGCCCTTCATCGCACTTCACCACACTTCACCACTCTTCACCGCACTGCATCTCACCTCTACGAGAATGGGCTTCCCTGTCTGCACCACTCGCTCCCTCGCCTCCTTCACCACCCTCAGCACTGCCAGCACATCGTTGCCGTCCACCCGCACACTAGAGACGCCGTATGCCGCCCCTCGCCCTGCTATGCCGTCACCTGAAATTCAAGAGGCAACAAGTGAGGGAGCGGGTTGTGGGGAGAGGGAGTGGGTTGTGGGGAGAGGGAGCGGGTTGTGGGGAGAGGGAGTGGGGGGGGCGAGCAGAGAAAGGGGGAAAGAGAAAAAAGGGAGATACAGGCATCAATCCAGTAGCGTTTTGAACTTTCGGATGCTGATTGATTTGAATTAAAAAATTAGAAGGCTATTTGTTTTCTGAACTCAATAGTCGATGTTATGTAACAACGTTACACCGCAAAGGCACAGCATATAGCTGTTACAGAAGCAAAAATAGTAGGGTTTGATGTGGCATACCTCGGTACTGTTCCTTTGCGGGGGTGCTTATAGCCCAGCCGTTGTTGCGGCATATAAAGAGTACAGGTGCCTCTAGGACTGCTGCGAAGTTGAGAGCTGCGTGGAAGTCTCCCTGTGGGTCAACACAGTGGACCACGTGGGGACATAGTTCACACGTTGGCACATGTGGGCATATAAAGAGTACACGTGCCTCCAGACTGCTGCAAAGTTTAGAGCTGCGTGGAAGTCACCCTGAGAGTCAGCACAGTCAACACACGTGGGGCACACCTGGTTGGCACATGCGGCAACCAATCGTCCAAACAGGAGTAAGCAAGCGTGCGTGCATGCAGAATGCACCTTCCACAGTTCTACACTTGACCACAGCTCACCTCACTGGCAGCGCCCTCGCCAAAGTAAGCCACGGAGCAGCACCCCTCACTGTCACACGAAACTACATGAGACCACACACTACCGCACATCACCCCTTCACAGCTCACCTCACTGGCAGCGCCCTCCCCAAAGTAAGCCACGGAGCAGCACCCCTCGCTGTCACACGAAACTACATGAGACCGCACACTACCGCACATCACCCCTTCACAGCTCACCTCACTGGCAGCGCCCTCCCCAAAGTAAGCCACGGAGCAGCACCCCTCGCCCGCCATCTTGAGCCCATAGGCCGCCCCCACTGCATGCGGGATCTGCGTGCTGGTCAGGGGAGGGGCAAGCAAACAGGGGAGACAGGGGCGGAGGGAGACGGGGTTGGGGGGGAGGGGGTGGGGTGGGGAGGCACGAAAGCAAGACACGGAGCAGCACCTGTCGCCCGCCATCTTGAGCCCATAGGCCGCCCCCACTGCATGCGGGATCTGCGTGCTGGTCAGGGGAGGGGCAAGCAAACAGGGGAGACAGGGGCGGAGGGAGACGGGGTTGGGGGGGAGGGGGTGGGGTGGGGAGGCACGAAAGCAAGACACGGAGCAGCACCTGTCGCCCGCCATCTTGAGCCCATAGGCCGCCCCCACTGCATGCGGGATCTGCGTGCTGGTCAGGGGAGGGGCAAGCAAACAGGGGAGACAGGGGCGGAGGGAGACGGGGTTGGGGGGGGAGGGGGTGGGGTGGGGAGGCACGAAAGCAAGACACGGAGCAGCACCTGTCGCCCGCCATCTTGAGCCCATAGGCCGCCCCCACTGCATGCGGGATCTGCGTGCTGGTCAGGGGAGGGGCAAGCAAACAGGGGAGACAGGGGCGGAGGGAGACGGGGTTGGGGGGGAGGGGGTGGGGTGGGGAGGCACGAAAGCAAGACACGGAGCAGCACCTGTCGCCCGCCATCTTGAGCCCATAGGCCGCCCCCACTGCATGCGGGATCTGCGTGCTGGTCAGGGGAGGGGCAAGCAAACAGGGGAGACAGGGGCGGAGGGAGACGGGGTTGGGGGGGAGGGGGTGGGGTGGGGAGGCACGAAAGCAAGACACGGAGCAGCACCTGTCGCCCGCCATCTTGAGCCCATAGGCCGCCCCCACTGCATGCGGGATCTGCGTGCTGGTCAGGGGAGGGGCAAGCAAACAGGGGAGACAGGGGCGGAGGGAGACGGGGTTGGGGGGGGAGGGGGTGGGGTGGGGAGGCACGAAAGCAAGACACGGAGCAGCACCTGTCGCCCGCCATCTTGAGCCCATAGGCCGCCCCCACTGCATGCGGGATCTGCGTGCTGGTCAGGGGAGGGGCAAGCAAACAGGGGAGACAGGGGCAGAGGGAGACGGGGTTGGGGGGGAGGGGGTGGGGTGGGGAGGCACGAAAGCAAGACACGGAGCAGCACCTGTCGCCCGCCATCTTGAGCCCATAGGCCGCCCCCACTGCATGCGGGATCTGCGTGCTGGTCAGGGGAGGGGCAAGCAAACAGGGGAGACAGGGGCGGAGGGAGACGGGGTTGGGGGGGGAGGGGGTGGGGTGGGGAGGCACGAAAGCAAGACACGGAGCAGCACCTGTCGCCCGCCATCTTGAGCCCATAGGCCGCCCCCACTGCATGCGGGATCTGCGTGCTGGTCAGGGGAGGGGCAAGCAAACAGGGGAGACAGGGGCGGAGGGAGACGGGGTTGGGGGGGAGGGGGTGGGGTGGGGAGGCACGAAAGCAAGACACGGAGCAGCACCTGTCGCCCGCCATCTTGAGCCCATAGGCCGCCCCCACTGCATGCGGGATCTGCGTGCTGGTCAGGGGAGGGGCAAGCAAACAGGGGAGACAGGGGCGGAGGGAGACGGGGTTGGGGGGGAGGGGGTGGGGTGGGGAGGCACGAAAGCAAGACACGGAGCAGCACCTGTCGCCCGCCATCTTGAGCCCATAGGCCGCCCCCACTGCATGCGGGATCTGCGTGCTGGTCAGGGGAGGGGCAAGCAAACAGGGGAGACAGGGGCGGAGGGAGACGGGGTTGGGGGGGAGGGGGTGGGGTGGGGAGGCACGAAAGCAAGACACGGAGCAGCACCTGTCGCCCGCCATCTTGAGCCCATAGGCCGCCCCCACTGCATGCGGGATCTGCGTGCTGATGGGGGCAGAGCCATGGGGGAAGGATATAGAAGATGAAGGCCCAGGGATGTGCAAACAGAAGGGAGTGAAAACAGGAAAGAGGGGAACCAGGGGGAGGGGAGGGGGTGTAGAAGGGATGTGGTGGTGCTTAGATGGGTCAGGAGAGGGACGGAAAGAGGAGGACGAGCTCTGGGGAGGGGACGAGTGAGAGGGGGAACCAGGGGGAGGGGAGGGGGTGTAGAGGGGATGTGGTGGTGCTTAGATGGGTCATGGCAGTGGATTGTGGTGGTGAGGTATGCCTCGAATTAGGCCATACCATTTTGAGTATGCCATGCCATTTTGAGTATGCCATGCCATTTTGAGTATGCCATGCCATTTTGAGTAGGCCATGCCACTTTGAGTAGGCCATGCCATTTTGAGTATGCCATGCCACTTTGAGTATGCCATGCCATTTTGAGTAGGCCATGCCACTTTGAGTAGGCCATGCCATTTTGAGTATGCCATGCCAATTTGAGTAGGCCATGCCATTCTGAGCCCGTGAGGCCCACCTCACAGACGAGTAAGTAAGCAGGGCAAGGCAGCAGCGAAGAATCCACTCACGCTAAGGGGGACGAAATGGTGTGAAAGCGGAGCTCCGCAGACCCATAATGCACAGGCATCTGCTGCCCCTTGCCTGCGTCCAGCTGGTAACAAGGAGAACCCAATTACAAGACGTCTCAGTATTAGACACTCACGCTAGGGGGGACGAGATAGTGTGAAATCGGAGCTCCGCAGACCCATAGTGCACGGGCATCTGCCGCCCCTTGCCCTTGTCCAGCCGGTTCCCCATGCACTGATTGGCGAAGTCAGGGAGTGAGAAGCCCCGCCACAGCAGCACTCCGGGCTCGCGGTACTGATGGGGAAGGGGGGGGGGACGGGGGGAGGGGGACGGGGAAGGGGGAGGGGGAGGGGGAGATGGAAAAGTGGAAGGAGTAAGTGGGTCTTTTTGAGCTCTGGTCTCTGTGCGCCCCTTGCCCGTGTCCAGCCGGTTGCCCATGCACTGGTTGGCGAAGTCAGGGAGAGAAGCCCCGCCACAGCAGCACCCCTAGCTCTCGGTACTGAAGGGGGGAGGGGGACGCGGGAGGGGGGAGGGAGGGGTTGGAAAGGGGGACGTGGAAGGGGAGTCAGTGTGGCCTCTGTGTGCCCCTTGCCCTTGCCCAGCTGGTTGCCCATGCACTGGTTGGCGAAGTCAGAGAGTGAGAAGCCCCGCCACAGCAGCACCCCAGGCTCTCGGAACTGCCAGTCAGGCGAAGGGGAAGGTGGACGGGGAAGGGGAAAGAGGAAGGAGAGTCAGCGAGTCTGTTTGAGTTGTGCTCTCTGTGCGGCTCTTGCCCGTGTCCAGCCGGTTGCCCATGCACTGGTTGGCGAAGTCAGGTAGAGAGACGCCCCGCCACAGCAGCACCCCGGGCTCTCGGTACTGAAGGGGGAAGGGCAGGGGGAGGGGGGAGGGGAAAGTAGGGGGGGTTGGAAAGGAGGAAGCGGAAGGAGAGTCAGTGTGGCCTCTGTATGGCCGGTTGGCCATGCAACACACCACAACACACCATACCTGGGCAAAGACGTGGTCGTGGGGGTGAATAGCGGCGGCAGACGCGATGTTGACGGCCTCCTCCCCCGCCGTGGTCATGTAGAACGAGAAGCGCCCCTGCCTCTGCCTCCGCCTCTGCGCCCCTTGAGGGGGAGAAATACTAGAGAGAGTGCCTCTGCAAACCAGAACCCACACACACCTGCGCGAACACATGGTCGTGGGCGTGAATGGCAGCGGCAGAAGCGATGTTGACGGCCTCCTCCCCCGCCGTGGTCATGTAGAACGAGAAGCGCCCCTGCCTCTGCGCCTCGTAGAACACCGAATCCATTGCTTGAAGCTCCATCATTGCTTGATACATGCGCTCTGCCTCAGACTGGGCGAGCTGGGGGAAAGCAGGTGGGAGAGGGTAATTGGATGGATAAAGGTTGTGGGTGGGAGGATCGAACACCGAATCCATTGCCTGCAGTGCAGCTCCACCATTGCCCTGTACATGGCGCTCTGCCTCGGATGGAGTCAGCTGGAGGAAGGAGGGAAGGCAGGGGGGTTAGGAGGGCAGCGCCCCTGCCGCCTCAGCGTCTCGTAGAACACCGAATCCATTGCCTGCAGTGCAGCTCCACCATTGCTCCGTACATGCGCTCTGTCTTGTGTTGATTCAGCTGGAGGGGAGGAAGAAGTGGGAGGGAGTGTTTGGATGGAGGGGAGGTGTGAGTGGGAGGGGAGCGGGAGAGTGGAGAAAGCGCCCCTGTCTCTGTGCCTCGTAGAACACCGAGTCCATTGCCTGCAGTGCAGCTCCACCATTGCTCCGTACATGCGCTCTGCCTCGGATGGAGTCAGCTGGGGGAGACAGGTGGCAGGAAAGAGATGATGGGAGAGAAGGTATTGGGAGGGAGAGGTAATGAGAGAGGCGGAAAGAGGGGGGGTATTGGTAAGGGGTTACTGAGAAGGGGGGAAAGAATGGGCACTCCCTCACTCACTCACTCACTCACTCCCTCACTCCCTCAATCACTCCCTCCCTCACTCACTCACTTCCTCCTTCCCTCCCTCACTCACTTCGGGCAACTCAGCGCCCTCCACGAGCCCCCCCTCGTGGTCCAGCACACGGAAGCACGGCACAGGAGACCCCGGCTGCTTAGGCCCAACTTCCCTTGTTTCTACTCTCTCTCACTCAACCCCTCACTCACTCCCTCACTCACCTCGGGCAACTCAGCGCCCTCCACGAGCCCCCCCTCGTGGTCCAGCACTCGGAACCACGGCACTGACCACTCTGGTTGTTCCCGCACCACTGAAGATCCGACGTGAATGCCATGCGCAACCATATTCCCTTGCTTCTACTCCCTCACTCGCTCCCTCACTCACCTCGGGCTCCTCTCCGCCCTCCACGAGCCCCCCTTCATGGTCCAGCACACGGAAGCACGGCACAGGAGACTCCGGATGTTCAGGCACGAACTGAAGGTCAGAAGTGAACGCCATGCGCGCGCCTGGGAACTCGTGAGATACCGCTACCGCTGCTGCTGACGATGTGGCGACTGACGTGGCGGCTGACGTGGATGCGGACGTGGCGGCTGACGACAGATTGGGCTCCTGTGGAGTGAAAACAGAGATTCAGAGGGTGACTATGCATACGTGTCAGAAGCAGCCTTGCATACCCAACAGAATGGAAGGCCAGAATTCTGTACTTCAGTCTGAGAGTAAGAAACGGTAAGAGAAGGACCTGATATGTGGAAATGGTGCGAAAAAGCAAAATGAGAACAATTATCTCACCTGTCTCTGATGTGGCGAAACCGTGAAGTTTCTCACGAAGCTTCTCGTCTGTCCGATTCCAGCAGCGTCTTGAGTTGTTGATGCTGTAACGAGCGGAGCCAAACCAGATAATTTTCGTAGCGTTCGTTCACTTTCGCGAAACCCTCGGCGTGCAACAGCAGCAGCTAACGCACCGCTCGCCATAATGGAAAATATACAGAATGAGACGTTTCGAAGGGAAAAGAGAGCCGACAACCCAAAACGGAGAGGCGAGTCCGCTTCGAAATCTAAAAGTACGAACTATTCTCGGAGTCGTGTCAGCGGAACTACAAGCAGCTATTTGAGTGCTCGGCAGGACAAGCTGCGTGTCGCCTATGAGCAGCAGCAGCAGCAGCACAGGATGATAATATCTCTTGTTTACAGGGTGCAAAGAGGGCCACGGTTCGGGCAATCTGAAGCAGAAACGTCTGCCTCTGCTGTTGCGACTCCTGCTCCTACTGCCGAAACCACGGCTGTATAACCGGTTATTTGAGATTCTGTTTTCTGACTTGAGCTACTCAGACCTGCTGCTTCAGATGAAATCCATGGTGATGAGACTGACAGTTTTCCTTCTGAGAGCGCATCGCCAAACTCAATATGCGTGGTTCCTGAATATTTTGGGATACGTTTCTTCGGTTCAGTGCGATTCTTCAGGTTAAGAGATTGATTTCATATACTTACCGCTCTGGACCTCCGCAAACTGAGGTACACCGAACGAGGTGAATTGAAAAGCTACTAGTGTATCGGGCCAGGCCATTCCCAAGGAGTCTCGGGAATTCAGAACCGTTCGTGCGCGTGTGACTTGGATTCTGGAAGTTGGAGTTGGTGACGCGTCACAGTAAGCCCAAGCCAGCACACAACCGCACCCAGCTCTGCAGATCCAGCTCCTCGCTGCCTCAGCAGCTCATGTTTCACGGTCAGCGATTCGTCGCAATCAGACACAGCCAATAATAGTTTTCCTTACAAGAACAAGGGTAATTACCTTCTGGGTAACTCACATCGAGCCCGCTGACGTCAAAAGTCACCTACGTGGCTCGATGGTACCCGTCAGATCATGCGCGCCCCTTCGTGGTACCCATCTTCCCTCCGTGGTACCCATCTTCCCTGCGTGGTACCCATCAACTGTGCGCGAATTCCCTGACTGGTACCGCAACATTTCAACCGAGCTGTACACCGTACACCAAGAGTTTCAATGCGTTTCTCAGTATATTGTCTTAACGTTTACAAGCTCAATAGAGTCACAAGCCCGAAGTGCCACCTGATCGAGTCAATTTATCACACCCATTACCTATAATAAAGTGTAGAAGAAAAGCTGGATTCTTAAATAAAATAGCATTCATTGGGTAGATTTGTTTAGGCTAAGAAACATCGACAATATAACGTGCTATAAGATAACGTAAAACTGATATATTGCATCAACCGAAAAAAAAACATCCGTATAGCAAACAATCAACTTACACGTAAAGTATATATTGACTTAAGGTATATTTGATTTTCATTATATGTATTGTTTTGTTTCCAAAAACCAACGAATGTACGTATTATTTGTTTATGATTTTATGTTTAGCTTTGGGGGTGCATGCTCAATTTATTTGCATACAACCTTATAAACTTTGTTCAAATAACATACTGAGCGCTGCGAAACATGGTCGCAAGATTCACTCTACCTGTCGTTCAGTGGTGTGAGCTTACGAAGGTTCGGAGGTAATGTGAGGATTTTAGAAGAGGAGTTGATTTCTTTCTATGTTGCACTCTGTCCAGTGTAAGGCACGTTCAAACATTTATGTTCAAGGGTATTAATGTTCAATAAGAGTTTGTAAACGTTGTTATTAATATACTGAAAAACGCATTGAAACCCTTGTTGTACAGTGTACAGCTCGGTTGAAATGTTGCGGTACCAGTCAGGGAATTCGCGCACAGTTGATGGGTACCACGCAGGGAAGATGGGTACCACGGAGGGAAGATGGGTACCACGAAGGGGCGCGCATGATCTGACGGGTACCATCGAGCCACGTAGGTGACTTCTGACGTCAGCGGCTTCGATGTTGGTTACCCAGAAGGTAATAACCTAAAGAACAAACTCGTATTCTCCTTACAAATAGCCCGTCACAAGCTACATAGCATTAGGTTTTCAAAACAAATTATTAAAGCTGCGGCCTACATACCTCACGCGGGAGGCCTGAGTTTATCACTTGAAAACCAGGTTGCTGTGAGCTTCAGTGGCGAGGATTTGTGACCTCCGCAACCCCCCCCTGAAAATTCGCACTCTCAGGATTTGCTCATCAGTTTCGCCAAACCCTAAACTGCTCGAAACGTTTGAGGATTCGCCGAGGGTTGTTCTCCCACCCGAGTTTTTTTCACGAAACTGGCGGGATTCGCCAGTCTTGTTTGACCCCTTCGCACCCCCATTTCAGGACAAGGGTCACTTCGCAAGCTAATCAGAGTGATTCCTAGGGTGTCCACGCTAATTGTACCCCAAAAACGCATTTATGTATGTAGACCGCAGCTTTAACACTCTCAATTTCACAAGCTGCAGCTTAGTTGTTGGACTGTTGCATCCGCACAAGGCTCTCGCCGATCACGTCTGTTGGAAGCTCGTCCGATTCATCCAACGGCATGTACTGCGCCATGATGGCCCGAATCTCAGAATCCACATGTGTCTGGACGTAACACAAGCCAGACATGTCAAAAAGGAAAACATAAGGAATCATCATAGATACATACGCTGCAACAGACTCGTAAAACTGGATGAAGCGAAAGGTGAGAAACCATATTGAAGGGCCTCGCACATGCTTACACAATAATAGAGAAACTGATGGTGAAAGTTGGAATTCTTACCCGAAGGTGGTACTGGTACATTAAATATCCCAGGACTGCGAAAACAGCGATGAAGCCCAACACTATGGCCACCACTCCACCCCAGATGGTACGAGTCGGGGCTGAGCCCTCAGATACCCTGCCTGGTGTGAGTAAGAGGGGTGGAGTGGGGAGTGTAAAAACTAGGATAAGGGGCAGCCCCATTCATGTGATGTGAGAGAGTTGAAGTGGAGAGCATGAGGACAGGGATTAAGGCCAACACAAAGGCCACTACTCCACCGCAGATGGTACGAGTAGGGGCTGAGCCCTCAGATACCCTGCCCGATGCGTGTGAGAGAGATATACACGGGAGTGCTAAGAGACGTGAAAGAGAGAGAGATGCGGCGAGATGTGAAAACAAGCACTCGGGCCAATAAGGTACTCCATTACGACGCGTGAGCACTCATACGACCATAACCAAGCTCGTAAATTTGAAAGGGAATAATAAATCAGTCGAATCATATGCCACTTACTGATGCACGCCTGAAGCTGGTCGATATAAACCATGTCCTCGCCCACACACGTGCACTCGTACGACCCAAACGTGTTGCGGCACTTGCAGTCGGGGCACTTGCAGGCGGGGTGCGAGGGCGCACACTCGTTGATGTCCTTGCAGTCATCTCAAATCCCACTTACTGATGCACGCCTGAAGCTGGTCAATATAGACCATGTCCTCGCCCACACACGTGCACTCATACGACCCGAACCAAAGATGTTGTTGTGGAGATTACATGGTAAAAGATCAGTGAAAACAAAGGCTACTCACTGATGCACGCCTGAAGCTGGTCAATGTACACCATATCCTCGCCCACACACGAGCACTCGTACGACCCAAACGTGTTGCGACAATTGTCCCATACCATCTCCACAGCCATCTCAGAAACCACTCACTGATGCACGCCTGAAGCTGGTCAATGTAGACCATGTCCTCGCCCACACACGTGCACTCGTACGACCCAAACGTGTTGCGGCACTTGCAGTCGGGGCACTTGCAGGCGGGGTGTGAGGGTGCACACTCGTTGATGTCCTTGCAGTGGTGCCCGTTGCCCAGGAAGCCCGGCGGACACACACAGGTGGTGGCGGGGGAGGTGGAACTGTCCTGCTTGGTGTGAGCAGAGGGATGGAGTGATGAAGGGATGGGGGGTAAGGGGAAGGTCAAGAGACCTGGGCACCAGAGCAAGTCCTTGCAGTGGTGCCCGTTTCCCAGGAAGCCCGGCGGACACACACAGGTGGTGGCGGGGGAGGTGGAGCTGTCCTGCTTGGTGTGAGCGGGAGAGTGGGGGATGAGGGATGAGGGGGTGAGAGCAAAGGAGGGGAGGCAGGTTTGGTGACACACACGGGAGGAGGTAGGGGAGGTGTAGCTGTCCTGCTTGATGTGAGCGGGGGGGAGGAGTGATAAGGGTGGTGTGAGCAGTACCCAGAACTCACAGCGTACAAAAGCTCACGTGGCAGGCGGTGTACGTCTTGCCCTCGTGGGTGGACTGCCAGCACCCCCCATTGCCCACCTCAGAGTCGACTCACATGGTATGCACAACAGCAACCCCAGCACCAGCAGCACCAACACAGCTACTCACGTGGCAGGCGGTGTAAGTATTGCCCTCGTGGGTGGACTGCCAGCATCCCCTGTCTGTCGCCCTTTCAGAGAAGTGAGCTCTCAGAGAGTACAAATCACAACCAAACAACAGCAACCAACACAGCTACTCACGTGGCAGGCGGTGTAAGTCTTGCCCTCGTGGGTGGACTGCCAGCATCCCCCGTTGCCCTTTCAGAGCCGACTCACATGGCAGTCCGCGTCACAGCTATACCAGCAGCAGCAGCAGCAGCAGCAGCAGCATCAACAACAACACCAACAGCAACTCACATGGCAGGCGGTGTAAGTCTTGCCCTCGTGGGTGGACTGCCAGCAGCCCCCGTTGCCCATTTCTGAGTCAGCTCAAACAGTGCAAACTGTGCCAGCTGGCAGCATCCTCAAATCAAATAGCACGCTCAAAAGCAAGACCAGCAACAGCAGCAACAGCACAGCAGCAACTCACGTGGCAGGCGGTGTAAGTCTTGCCCTCGTGGGTGGACTGCCAGCATCCCCCGTTGCCCACCAGGCACCGACCCACTCCCGCCGCTGCACGTGCGAGTGAGGAGAGGAGCAGAGCGCATGGGGAGAGCAGAGCACGTGGGGAGAGCAGAGCACGTGGCGAGAGCAGAGCACGTGATTGAACACAAGAGCATATTTTCAAAAGAACAGACATAGTGTAGTGAAGGACGGAAAGATAAGCGGGCTGAAACGCAGTTGTGATTATGGGAACGAATATTGT